AAAAATTGATTTTAGAAAGAGAGAGAAGGGAGAGAGAGAAACATCAATTTGTTGTTCCACTTATTTATGCTCCATCGGTGGATCCCTGTCTGTGCCCTGACTGGGGATGGAACCCATGACTCTGGCGTATCCACATGCGGCTCTAACCAACTGAGCTACCTGGCCAGGGCCTTAACTGGTATTTCTTACGTTAAATTTTAGAGGGGGCGGAAATGGAAGCTGAGAAAGTCTGTCCTACCAACTTTAAATAACTCATGAAGTTCCTAGTGAAAATAAGGCAACTGTTACTAAGTAAACAGGTAATAGCTATTATTAAAGTTTAGTTCTAAAGGCAGTTTATTTTATGTTATGAAAAACTGTTATAAGATTTCATCAATGACATTAAGTTCAACTAAATCTACCAGAAAGAGTAATGTCAAACAGGATTATATTTTGAAGTCCATAATAAAGATAGACTCTTGAAACCCAGTACCTTCAGTGCTTCTCTGTTTTTAGAAATTAGAATAACTAGTAGTTTGCTATTTTTAGCAAACTATTAGTTTTCCCCTCTACCTAAATTATTCCTCTTATTTTTTAAAACATATTTCTAAAATATTACATTAAAACTAATATTCAACTAAAGCCTAGTGCCCAACACAAACTAAATTAAGTTGTGAATCACAAACTAATTCATCACTTAAGATATAATCACTAAGACAACGAAATGTGTGACTCTTTCTGGCAGTGCTGGCAATCATCACTGGTGTCATCACAGCGTCCACACACCAGTTTCTAAGTCCGTTCCATTCACGCTTATCTCTTATTTCTCGTAGCAGCTTGTCTACTGGAACACGTTCCTCAGGGGGGTGTTCCTGGCGTTTCAGATTACAGTGAACAATGGCTGGTTACTCAGGCCCCCAAAGTAGGTTACAGCGAAAACGATTTGAAATTTTCCCAGAGAAATTATCAGATGGGCAACGTGATAAATACAGCTGACACCACACGCTGCATTAGCTCTATCGAAACCATGCAGGCTCTCACACTTACTACTTGCTTGACCTTGGGCAAGTCACTTAACCTCCCTGGGTCTCGGCTGCCTTCCAGTGAAATGGGGCACCCACCTCTCCTGACTGTTAACAAGATTAAAGACTGAGAGTTTAGAAAAACGCTTGATGCACAGTTAGGTGTTAACTGTTGTCATGACTACTTTTTAAAGCACAAATAAATAAATAGAATCAGTAACTGTATAAGTTATGTTATTTACCATAATAATATTCTTGCCCTTTTTTACCTATGGCACTGGAATATATTAAATGCAGGTGGTTTTTCCACTTGGAAACTTTTATTTTAGTCACTGGGTCACACGACACTGATGGTGTGTCATGATAGTCTTTGGTATGAATGGCATTAAAATCAATCAACTCCCTCCAAAGAAATCACAAAACAGACCAGCACAGTGTGCTAAATGGTTTAGTTTTCTTCACAATGGAATAAAACAATCTCTCTAACCACTGATGGCAAAGATGCTCAATTTAGCACTTTTCAATCTGAAAAACACTTTTGATGCAATGGCATCGAAAACACTGGGAGGAAAACACTGTTCCTCCTCCTTTCGCTTTTTCTTACTTTCAAAAGAATTCTCGAGCCCTGGATGGTGTAGCTCAGTGGGTTGAGCGCAGGCCTGGGAACCAAGCAACCACAGTTTGATTCCCAGTCGGGGCACATGCCTGGGTTGCAGGCTGGTTCCCAGCAGGGGACACACAAGAGGCAACCATACACTGATATTTCTCTCCCTCTCTCCTTCCCTTCCCCTCTAAATATAAATAAATAAAATCTTAAAAAAAAAAAAAGAATTCTCCACCTGGGGAGACACATTCTCACTGGCCTCATGCAGCAGCACCACTACTTTTGCCCCCCCCCTTTTTTTAGAGGTATTGAAGTGGTAAAGAGAAATGAACAAACTCTTTTTCTCAACACAAATTCATGGAAAAATCTATAGAAATAAAAATGTTTCAAAAAGGCACTGAATATGCTTAAAGTTCATGAGTAAAAAGACAACTTGGTTACTGTCATTTAAGCCTTCAAGTTTTGTCAGTGGTCTGCAGAGGACTCCAACATCCTCTGTCTAAGGAACACTCCCTACTCAAGTCTCTGGAGCGGCAACTGCCACAGAACTTTGCTTTTCTCAAACAGAATTTCTCTCAGATGAACCTTTATTTTGCAAATCAGAAATATGGAAGTTTGGCAGAGTAATGAAGGAAGTGAAGTCAACAGTAGGTAGTTTCCTTCACTTTCAGGAAAGAAGATCTAAAGATAGAATCACAGCCCTGAAGGAACTGGGTTTCTAAGGAACTTTATAAACAGCAAATAACCACAATTTTTTTAAAAGGAGAAAATAAAGTTATTTTGAAGTTTTCAGAATTCAGGCACCTAAACACTGTCATTAAGGATGAGCAAGGGAAACACTGTATCAAATATAACAGCACAGAATTTGGAAGTCCACTTCAGTTACAATTCATTTCTTATGGGAAGCAATGTGTGGTTTTGCAAATTCTGTTTTCATTTGGTCTTATTTTATCGTTTAGGTGCTAGTGGTGGGACTTACCATTTCACTGGTCTCTACTGGAAAGTAAACCACACCCACACACCTCATAAATAGAACAGGAGACACGCCAACCTCGCAGGTTCCTAAGACTCCCAGGCAGCAAATGCTTGCTATTTAGAACCTTCTCAGTGCAGGGATGACCATCCACTACTGTTCTTATCATTGAGATGCAGCTTCTGTTCTTATTATCATAAATGAGGCCAATCCTAGTGACACTGAACCGGGCCCAGCATTTCTCCTTATGTCCCATTCATGGAGAAGCATCACTGTGTGCTGTCGAGTGGTGACAGACATTCCTTGGCACTGAGGAACTTATCCTCCTATCAAACATAATTTATTCTTAACCCTCTCGGGCAGGAACTCAAGATCTTTGTTTTGTAAAATGAGGATTATAATATAAAATAGTATAGCCACTTTGCAAGGAGTTTAATTAACCGTTGGTCAAACTGTTAAACATAGAATTACTGTGTAACCCAGCAATCCTACTCCTCCGTACACTGTTGACCCCTGAACAACACAGATTTGAACTGCGTAGGTCCACTTACATGGGAATTTTTTCAGTAAATACCTGCACTGTTTTTGATTTATGGTCCATAGTCCACGGGTGCAGAGAGCCGACTGCCTGCACTGATGTATGCTATCTCATACTGGCAGATTTTGGTATCGTGGTGGTCCTGGAACCAATCCCCCATGGAAGGAAAACTAAATTTGGTGGGTGTCAGTTAACGTGGACCTTTGACTGTGTATGTAGGGGGTTGGTGCCCCTAGCCCCCACATTGTTCAAGGGCCAGGTGTGTATGTACCAAAGAGAAATGGAAACATACACCCACATAAAACTTGTATGTGAATGCTCTTAAAAGCATTATTCCTAACAGTCAAAAAGTGGAAAGAGTCCAAATGTCCACCAATGGATGAATGGATAAATACAATACACGATATCGCACATCCATACAATGGAATATTCTTCAACTGTAAAAAGGAATGAAGCACTGACATATGCTACATGGTAAACTTTGAAAACACTGTATCAAGTGAGAAGCAGATTACAATATTACATATCATATGAATCCATTTTTAATTTTAATTTATTTTTATTTTTTATTATTGTTCAATTACAGTTATCCCCACTTACCCCTCATTACTTTCCTCCACTCTACCCACCTCCACGTGCCCTTCAGTAAATGAGTGGCTCAAAAATGGTGGCACATTTACACTATGGAATTCCACGCAGCAGAAAGAAGAAAGAAATTCCTACCCTTCATGACAACATGGATGGAACTATAGAGCGTTATGCTAAGTGAAATAAGCCAGGCAGTGAAAGACAAACACCATATGATCCCACCTATAAGTGGAACCTAAACGACAAAACACACAAGCAAGCAAAATAGAACCAGAGACATGGAAATAAAGAATAAACTGATAGTGACCAGAGAGGATGGAGGAGGGAAATATTGGGGGAAAGAAGGGGAGGAGTCATCAAGGAATGTGTCATAGAGGAGGACTGAATGTATGAATCCACTTACACGAAATGCCCAAAACAGGCAAATCCATAGAGAGAGAAAGTAGATTAGTGGTTGCCTAGAGCTGGGAGCTGGCCACAGGTGGGAATCAGGAGCGGTTGCTAACTAAATGTTAAGGGGTTTGTTTCTTTTGGGGTGAATAAAATGTTCTAAAATTAGGTTGTGGTGATGGTCGTACTACCCTGTGAATGTACTAGAAAATGCAAATTGTACATTTTAAATGGGTGAATTTTATGGTAGACAAATTATATCTCAATAAAGCTATTAAAAAGTACATACACACTTACATAAACACATGTGCAGGAGCACACTATAAGGAAATGCATCAAAAATACTAATAAAGTTTCCATATGTAAAAAAATGCCCCTCTTTAAAAATATGAATTTTTGGAGGAAAAGATTTTACAAAGAAGAAATTCAATTAAGAAGGATAAGACCATAAAAGAGGAAAGGGCAGGAAAAGACTCTAACTCACCATTAAAGAAAATGCTGAGAGACAAGCAAGAGGAGAACGAGCTTTTTATGTGACAGAATGGCCTCTGCTGCAGAGTTCAAAACATGGCTCTGGCTGGCCCCTCCAGATGTCAGTCGTGAATGACATCATAAACGGACTCCACCAAGTCAGTTTCAGGCTTCATGGAAAAGCACTGCAACTCCTCAAGCACCCTTTTGATCTCTTTATAGCATCTCAGTCCTTACTCAATGGGGGCCCAAATCCCCAGGAAGCTTGGAACTGCCCCTGTATCTGCATCTCACCCCCATACATTCCCATTCAAGCTCCAACACCATTTAACAGTCATAGGAGAGGCTTCCACAAAACAGACCATCTCCTTTCTACACCAATGAAAAATTTCCTTTAATAATAAAAGTGCTCAGTAAAAATGAAGAATTCCCTACCTTGAACACGTTAAGCTGTTGGTTGATTGTCTCTGTTTCCATAGCAACAGGGCCTTGAGACTCTTCATGTTCTTCGGCTTTCTGAAGCAGAGTAAAAAATTCCTTCAGTTTGCTGTAAAATTCACCAAGACGCTCAACTGTCCCTTCAACCTGCTTTTCTCTGGCTTGTGCTCGATCCTGCAACTTGTTGCACTGTTTGCTTAAAGTCTCCAAGTCCCTTTTGATTCCAACAAGATCAGGAGACGGTTCTTCCGTGGCCAGCATCATCCTGCAGGTTTTATTGGCATTGTCATTGTTAGCTATGAGGGCTCCTAGTTTCTTCAGGAAGGCTGTAATAGTCTCCTTTTGCTTTTGCAATGTTTCTACATCTCTCCCCACTGGGGCCATGCTATCCAGTTCATCATCAAATTCTGCAAACTGAGAAAACATTTCTCGGATGGTATTCTGGAAATGCCCAATGCCCTGAAGCTTGGTTTCTAAGAATGAACACTTCTCATCAACCTGCTGGCTTAGGGCACTATGCTCTTGAGCTAAGGTTTCTGCTTGTAATAAAACATCAGAGGCTCCCTTTGAGTCTGAGGCTTCCGCCACAAGGTCCTGTGCAAGCCCTTTGGCCAAATCTACCTGATGCTTCAAGATCTGCAGTGATTTCTGCTGAGTCTGCAACATGGTCAGGTACTTGTTACTGTAAGCCTGGGGACCCAGAGAATCATGGACATCTAGCTGTTCCTTTGCACACTGGAGCTGCCGTTTAGCTTCTTTGGACACTTCTTGAAATTCTTTAAACTTCTGGGCCATGTTCTCCAGAAAGAATTTCTTACTGTGAAGTTGTTCAGTGACCACATCTACCTTCTGGTTCAGTGACTTATTCTCATCTGTAACAACCTCTTTATCTGTCTCACAAACACTGAGCAAGCTATTGGCTGCGTTGTTCAGCAATTCTATCATTCCAAAGCGCTGGTCCATTTCCTTCTGCAGAGACTTTAACTTGGCAATCGACTTCTCTGTTTCAGCAGGATCCAGGCAAAATTTTAGCTCCTTCAGGTTATTCTGACACTTATCTATCCATGGCCGAAGAGTTTCCACATGCTCTTTATACTTGAGGGCTTTTTCCAATGAATCTTTCACTTTGTCTTCTCTTTCTTTCACCTGCTTATTAAATCCATCCCAACTGGCTTTAATTGTGTTAAGTTGTAACTGTAAGGCTGCCTTCTCAGACCCTTGTGTTTTTAATAACAGGTTTTCACCTTCTGCAATGGTTTTTTCATAAATACTGGACTTAGCAGTCAAAGTTTTACGGAAGTCTTTCTGATCTTTAATTAATGACTCCAAGACATGGAGTTTGGCTGATATCGGTTGAGATGTGCTTAGCTCTTCTTTCTTTGTGTCCAGCCACGCCTGAAAATCTCTAGACATTTGCTGAAATTGATGAGAGCTGGCACAGGCTGACTGAAGGTGCTGGACATGATTCTCTAAAAATTAAATTACAGGCATGTTTACTTTACATCAAAATGCTGCTTTAATCTATGAAAAGCCAAAAGGGAAGTCACCAAATAAATGTGCAGGACTGCCTAACAGCAAGGGTTGTGAGCACTGACTATCAGAACCACAAGTGAGCTTAAGTCATTGACAAAGGGGGGAAAGGGAGCGAGGGGTGGGCAAAGCAGAGAGACAATCAAGGTGGGATGAGAGGCCCAAAACAGATATCGGGAATCAGCAAAACTGCATAGAGGTACGGGGCGGTGAAGGACAGTCACACACACGACCTGCTGTGCAGAGTCATCTCTGCTCCAGTGAGTGAAAGTGGCAACCGTCCACAGTTCTATGCTGATAAATAATGCATCTCTTATCAAACATGATGGTTTCACTCCTATGATTTTTTACATCACCAGGGAGGCAATACAGTGAAGCTCATAGGAATGGCATGGGTTTGGGTCTCACCTCAACCTGTGAGGATCTAGAAAACTCAACCCAGGGCAAATGATCAAATCTCCAAGCCCCATTTCCCCAAGTGTAAACTGGCAATATAAATAAAAGCTGTTGTGGCAACTGAGGGATAGTACCTGTAAAGTTCTTAGCTTAATGCTCATCACATAAGAGTTCATAACAGTAATAATCATAACCTTAACAGCTAATATTACCAATATCACGTCAAAAAAAGAGGAGTCAGCCTAAATGGTGGCCTTCATCAGAAAGCAAATCCAATCAATTACAAACATAGACTGAGAATTTACTAGGCAAAAGACACCCCGTGTTACTTTTCAAACAGAACAAACTTGGTGGTGAAATGCGCTCCTCTCTGACAGGCCCTGGTGACGTACTCCCTGCTGCCGCCTCTGACAAACACTGACACGTGGGCCACAGAACCGTGGCCACAGCAGAGGAGAGGGAAACAGCCCCAAATGCTCCTCTTCCATATATTTCTCTAGAAATGCGAATTTCTGCGATGGAGTCAAACAAAATCATGGCAGATGAGAAAACGACCCAAAACCTTTTTAATAATGGTCTTCATCTGTCTTTCTAGTGAAATAAGACTGTCACACAGCCAAAACGTGTACATCTTTTAAAAGTCAATTCGGAATACCTGAAATTTTAACAGGCCTTCATTAAGTGGCCTCTGCCAACACTGTCCCTCCGCTATCTGTGTGGGACGACCCTACCTCTGTGTGGGCCCATGAACACAACCGCTCTCTGCACTCGTGTGAGCAGCTGCCTCTTCGCTTGTGCTTCCAATGCGAACAGATTCTTGTTAGGGCCCAGATTTCTGGGAACAGCTTGCACACAGGCTATCTATGTGACCTCTAGTTCTAGGAAATATATGTGTTCAAAGAAGAAAGACAAACCTGCTTTTTGTTCAATATCCTTAAATGATTTTAAGATGCCTTCCAGTTGCCTACTGAGTTCTGCTTTCAAGTACTCTTCTTTAACCAGGGCTGACAAGTCCTCACAGAGGGCCTGGGCCACTTTTATCTGCTTCCTTTTCTGCTCTAGTTCCTGCTGCATTTTTTGGGCTGCTTCCAACTGCTGCTTCACAGCGTCGGGGTGTGTGCTCACAGGCGTGCTGCTGCTGAGTTTATTATCCAGATCACTCAGTTTATCAGAAAGGCTTCTCAGCAGGCTTTGATACTGTGTGCTTTTAACAATGGCTTGATCAATCCAGTCACATCTGTCACTCAATTGTCCTGTTAGGCTGTCCCATTTCTGGGTCACAGCTGCTAGCTGCTCTTTCACAATTCCATGGAAGGAAGGGTGTTCGCCAGGCCGGCTCAGAATGCCCTGGCCAGCTGCTGTGAGCTGCTCATATTGAGGTTTCCGAGTATCAAATTCTTGCAGCAGAATCTAAGGTAAAGAGGTAATGAGGGCAAATAAACAGACAAATTATTGAATAACTAATTGCAGAAAACACAGCTTTAAGTTTCTAAAGAGATGGAAATGCTACTTATGTATCTAGTTTTTATTTTTGATTTTGAGTTACTGCTTTCCCAGTTTTCAGTTTGAGGACAGTGAGATCATCTGAAAGTAATCCAAAAAGCTACGGAGCTTCACAAAGATAGCATTTTGCCCACAACAGTATCCCCCAAAGGGGAAAACAGGGAATTTTCAGCAGTCTGGGCAAAATGAACAAAAATTCATGTGTGAATTTTCATATACAAAGGAAAATACTGCTACTGGACAAGGTCACAATCATACTCACACAAATTGGTTTTTTCCTACCTGTACTTTTCTCTTTGTAGGATTTTTTAAATTACAGCATTTTATATCAAAGCAAGTGCATAGTGATAATAGTGCTAGAATATGTTACCTCATGGTACATTGATTTACGAAGGTTTCTTTTAACGTAAGATTTATTGATAGCCATTATAAGAATGGTTTTAGCCAATAAATCATGTTGCTAAGAATGTGCAAGCTCAATGTTGGCTCTCATTATAAAATGAATAATCCAAAAATTTCCTCCTTTTTTTAGTACAATATTTTATATACCTCTGACAGACTACCAAAAGTGGGGGCAATTATTTCTTCTGAGATGTTTATTGACAGCTTCTGATGTTTTCCTTCTCTTCAGAGTATCTTCAGGGCTCAGGAGCAGCCTTACTGCCCCAATACCACTCAGACATAAAGAAATCTCACTGCAGCTACAAAGGGGCTTCTGCTAGTACAGTCTACTTAAATTCTGTGGATTTTTCCCTTTATGGATTTATGTGCTTATAATTTGACTATCTAATTAATCTGGGTTTCAAGGTTCCCTCTCTGCTTTTCTTATTCTTTCTCCTCTTCTTATTGTTTCTCCCCACCCCACCCCCATATCAAGGCTGTACTGCATGAGTTTTTCAAGTTTCATTATCTACTACCATACCCAAAATAAACAAAACCTCAAAGCAGTAATTTCTAAATAATAAAAAGCATATACTAGATTCTCATAAAAATGTTATTACTCAATCACATTAATACTTCAAAGAAGGCCCTCAGTAACAGGGTCTGCACAAACCACAGTCTGACTGAAATGGTCAATGGACTTGACCCCCTATGGGCTCAGCAGACCACTCTGGGCTGCCTCACAGCCCTGGGTCTCTGGGGCATCTCATGAACTTCAGGATAGTAGCTTACGGACGTCTGAAACATTACAAACACACTCCAAGTCAATTAAAGCACATACTGTCCAAAGCTGGCATATTTAAAATGAAAACATTTGTCTTGTTAAGTCAAGTGACACTCACCTGCACCTGCTGCCTTTGTGTGTTCAGCATGTTTGGGTCAATTGACAGGGGCCCAAGAACACTGACCATCAGTTCTTTTTCCACAAGCCACTGTTTTAACTGAGCCTCTACAGTCTGGAATTGAGTTAGATTGTTGGAGGACTCTTCCAGTTTTTGTTGTCTATCAACTGTTAATTGATTGAGTTCTTGCCACTTAGATTCTAAAGGAAAAAAAAATAAAGGATAAAACTGGTATTTGGTTTTCATACATTTAACGTGACTATATCTAGGAAGACTGTAGGATGTGACTCAAAATGATATATAGTAGCTATCATTCCATATTTAAAACTCTTCCTACAGAGCTGATTAAAGTCTAATCTAATTGATTGCATTTATTGATAGAGATTTTATGTTCCTGATGGTTGTGTATCACCTAAAATAAAATAAAACTAAATTTGAATCTGATCTTAGAGGATAATGCAGAGTATGGAATATTCCTTAAAGCAAGCAGGACCCTGAGCTCCCTAATTCCTTCTAGAAGTCCTCCACAGTCTGTTCATCCAGCTATAACTAATCTGCTAGAACAATAAATAGTAATCCTTTTCTTTAATATTAAATCTCCACCAATCAGTTAATTTTAGGCAAGTGACTCCCAAATTTTTATACGTTTACCCAATCATTCTCTTCTATTCAAACTGCACATTAGTTACCAGCTGTTTGAAAATTATAGTAGGTCATCTCACTAACCTTTAAAACTCAACATTAAAAAAAACAAAATTCGTCACTTGACTTTGGGTGCTGGGCATACAATATACACAGGATGTATCATAGAACTGTGTGTTTGAAATGTCACCCCAGACTTCTGCCAAGATGGAGGCATAGGTGGAGACGCTGTGCTTTCTCACACAACCAAGTTTAGAGGCAACTAAATATTAGCAACAGAAAACACAGCCAGAACACAGAAAATTGAACTTTTCCGAAGTCTGATAACAACAAATTCTTTAGCCTGACCGGTAAGAGGTCAGCAGCTGGTGGAGTGGGGTTGCACAGGAAAACTTGGTCAGACGGACTCAGGTGCGCAGAATCCAGGCGCAAGGTTGGACCTAGTGAGAGACACAGCAAGCGACCTCAGGGAAACAGCGAGGGAGCAGGGCTATGGGTTGACTGTGGTTGTGCATTCGTGAGCGGATAGACAAGCGAGGGAGTGGGTGATTAGACAGGACCCAACGGGTCCCCACAGCGAGCGGCAGCGGCAGCAGAGGGCGCCATCATTTCCCGCTCTGACCCCACCTCCACATACAGCAGCATAACCCAGTGACCTGGGAGTCCAAGGCTCCGCTCCTCATACTTATGGGGTGCAAACAAACCAAAAATGACTCAAGAAGATCTCAAAGCCCCAGAGCCTATAAATCTAAGCGATGAAGAAATAGCAAAACTCTCAGACGCACAGTTTAAAACACTGGTGATCAGGATGCTCACAGAACTGGTTGATTATAGCCACAAATTAGACAAACATATGAAGGCAAAACTAATTGAAATGAATGGAAATGCACAGGAAACCGATAGCGATGAAAAGGAAACTGGGACGCAAATCAATGGAGTGGACCAGAAGAAAGCAAATAATGGCCAAACAGAAAAGAGTCAAGAAGCAAGAATTCAAAAAAATGAGGAGAGGCTTAGGAACCTCCAGGACATCTTTAAACGCTCCAACATCCGAATTATAGGGGTACCAGAAGGGGAAGAGGAACAGCCACCAGTGGAAAACTTATTTGAACAAATAATAAAGGAGAATTTCCCCAATCTGGCAAAGGAAATAGACTTCCAGGAAATCCAGGAAGCTCAGAGTCCCAAAGAAGTTGGACCCAAGAAGAAACACACCAAGGCACATCATCATTACACTAGCCAAGATTAAAATGAAGGAGAGAATCCTAGAAGCAGCAAGAGATAAGGGGACAGTCACCTACAAAGGAGTCCCCATCAGACTGTCAGCGGATTTCTCAAAAGAGACCTTACAGGCAAGAAGGGGCTGGAAAGAGGTATTCCAAGTCATGAAATCCAAAGACCTACAACCAAGATTGCTCTATCCAGCAAAACTTTCATTTAGAATGGAAGGACAGATAAAGTGCTTCTCAGATAAGACCAAATTCAAGGAGTTCATCATCACCAAGCCCTTATTACATGAAATGTTAAAGGGACTTACCTAAGAAAAAGAAGTTAAAAAAACATGAACAGTGAAAGGACAGCAAACTCACAGTTATTAACAACCACACCTAAAACAAAAGCAAACTAAGAGGACAGCTAGATCAGGAGCAGAACCATAGAAATGAAGATCACATGGAGGGTTAGCAACAGGGGAGTAGGAGGAGGAGAAGGGGGGGAGAAGGTACAGAAAATAAGTAGCATAGATGGTAGATAGAAAATAGATAGGGGAAGGGCAAGAATAGTATGGGAAATATAGAATCTAAAGAACTTGAGACACATGGTAATAAACTAAAGGGGGGGGTAATTGTGGGGATGGGGAGATAGGGTGGAGGGGAATGAAGGGGGGAACAGAACAACTGTAATGGCATAATCAATTAAAAATTAATTTAAATAAATAAATAAATAAATAAGTACTAATTGGTAGTTACAGAATAGTCATGAAGTTTGAAAGTGCAGCACAGGGAATACAGTCAATAATGTTGTATAACTATGTACAGTGCCAGGCGGGTACTTGAACCATTGGGGACACTTTGTAAAGTATGTGATTGTCTAACCACCATGCTGTACACTTGAAACAAATACAAAATAATGCTGAATGCAAACTGTAATTGAAAAATAAAATTTAAAAAATTAAAGAAAAAAAGAAATGTCACCCCAATAAATTTAATAAAAATTTTTTAAAATTCCTATCAAAATTGGTGTATTTTTCTGACTTGTAGATTTTTTTCAAAGGTTACCTTTTCACTTGTGTCATGGAGAGGCAATAATTCAGAACGCCCTTTCGTGACTTTCCCAGCTCTCGTACAGCCTTGACCCCAACACCTTAAACACATCCCTTCATATTTGCAGTGGCCTAACTCCACTTTGGTCTTCATCATGGTTTGCCCAGACCAGTGTTTCTCAAACTTCAGCTACATTAAAATCACCTGGAGAGATGATTACACAGGTTTCTGGGCCCACACCCAGAGTTTCCCATCAGTCGGTTCAAAACAGGGCCTGACATGTTGCATTTCTAACAAGTTCCCAGGTGATGTTGCTGCTACTCTTCCCAGGAACACACTTTGAGAACCACTGTAAGGACCCAAACTATCAGTTTTCTAACTGGTTTCCCTGCCATTCGTGTTTCTAAGCTACAATCCATTTGGTTCTGAAATAATACCTCTAAAAAAATCACTTTTAAATGTGTCACTTCCTGTGTTAAAATTCTTGAGTAACTACTCACCATCTAGACAATACAATCTGAATAACTCTGCTTGACATTCAAGGATTCCCACAAACTGACCTAACTCTACTCATCTTAGAAGGTTTGCATTTCAAAATGAACCCTCTGATCTAATACTGCTGAACTTACTCACATCATCCAAACAGGCTTCTGCTCACACAGGCCCCATACCTGACATGCTCTTCCTCCTCTCCATATATCTCAGCTCTACCCCTCCTTCACAATTCTTCTGGATTTTACCTTCTGCTAGGAAGCCATTCCTATTCTCCCCACCCTCAAGAAGACCTGCTCCTGAAGCCCAAAGTTACTGACCAGCATTTGAACACAAGTCACTCAACCAATATTCATCAAGGGGTATAATTAGTTGATCTGATGGACAGTTTTCACCTAGCATACTATACACTAAAGGCATGATTTTAACAGGACCCACCGCTGAACCCTATCTAATGGCATCATTCTATATAGCATGTGGTAGTCAAACACAATCTCACAAGACAATGCAATTAAAACAAAAAGACTGAGAGGGAGAAATATCTAAATCTTATCAGGAAGCTATTTTGAAATATGCATTCTTCACTCAAACCCCTATTGTAAAATGCTTAATAATATTCCCCTAAGTAACTCATATTCCAGGTAAGAGCCAGTGAATTAGGGACAAATTCATTTTCATGCAACAGTACTCTCTGTATTGGATTAAATACACTATTGAACATTAAAGATCCCCTTGGATAACCTTTTTCAAAGTACGATGTACTTACACATTTCTAAATTTATCACAACGTATCTGGCTCTAAGGAAAGACAATCTTTAGCTAAATATAATAGAATGCTTGAAAGTAAAAGAATTCTTATTATCATCCATGCGAACACAGAGCACTCACTATGCATCAGGCAGTATTCACACTCACTGAATTCTGAAAAGCAATTCTATGTAGTAGGGAAAATTAGTATCATTGTCTTACATTTGTTTTCCCTATTGTTATAGAAATGAAAAAGGGTGGTAAGATAACAGGGCTTGTAAAAATTCTTTACCTAGGAGAAACAGTTTACATCGGGACAAGACTGATATGAGAGGATAACTCTGAATACAGAAGTGAAACCATAATACTTCTGTGGGGAGCTACTTTTTGACACTGGCTGGGGAAGAGAAGAGCACAGAGTAGGAGCTGGAGGAGACCCAAAAGGACCCCTGTGGAGGAGCAGGGAGCCTACCTTTTCCAGAGCAATAAACTAAAAGGAATATTTAAGTTAAAATAAAATAAAGCACAAAAAATTAGAAGCACCAACAATCTAATAAAAAAATAAGCAATAATGAAAACATGTCATTCAATGATCATGTTATTAACTAGTATCTATCTTCTTCATAAAAATAAATATAGTTACTGTGCTTAGAAAAAAACCTGTAATATAAAATATGCCACATTAGCACAATTTAATTTGAAATGACACTTTTAAATATGCAAACGTAGGTTGTGAAACATGAAAGCAAATCTCAAGATAAGGGAGGTTACTGGATACATATTCTCTGATGAAGATTAGGGTGTTTTAAAAAGAGACCGAGCTCCTGCTCACAGACTCTGGTGTAAGTCATACAACACACCTATTTCAGTCAACATCTGCTTCCACTTGGGGGCCTCGGGAGTGTCCGGGTTCTCCTCCAACAGGTCTGTCAGCTTGTCTTTCAACTCCTGCACTTTGTTTACATTCTGCTTCAGTTCGGCCTCAAATGACTAACCAGGGGGAGGGAAATAAAGTAGCTACATTAAAGCATGTCCATATCAAAAGACAACAACACAAGTCTGATAGATTTTTTTTTCTTTAGCTTGACCAGAAAAGTTTTGCTCTTAAATGCTGACATGGGTGAGGATCTGTGTTAACAGTTAGTTATTTTCCTTCTTGTTCTCACTAGTCTTCAGTTATCTGATAAAAGAATCCCAAAGAATGCCATTGCTATAGAGATAATGGCTCATCCCCAATACCTCGAAAAAATTTCATATTATTCTCAAATAAATCATTTTGGGAAAAAAAAGATGGCATCAGAAAGACTGTAATTAACACGAAAATCAGTCTTGACAAAGACTGCTAGATTTGAGAATGTACTAGTGAATAAACACTTTTCTGGACAACTCAATGTAAGAGTTCAAATATAGGCCACTTGTAGACATTTTTGCCATCGTTGCCACAAAGTAAAACCATTCCCCCAATACTGATGGCTGTAGAAAGAAACACCGTCTATTAAAGAACAGGAAAGCATGATTTCATACTAGACAGAACAGATCCCTGCTACACTGTACACTCAGCCCTTAAATAAATCTTTTCCAACAGCTGACTGGTGAAAATCCTAGACTTAAACTGATTTAAAGGTGGCAAAGTTGCTTATAACTGACAGTTCACTCATCTTTATAATGTCTGTGCACAAAAATAGGTAATCATTATCATCAATCTGTTCAGAAAGGCACATTAAACCAAACTGGCAAATTATTTCCTGAAGGTAATGGAGCAAGAAATCACAACAAGGGCTCCTAAGCTCCAGGGCTCAGTTTCAGACACTCGTCTCTTCTCTTCCACGTCTTCGGTAAGGGCACCCCCAGAATATACCTTATTCTGCTCAACTTGGGTCTTCACAGCTTCGGTGTCTGTAGGTGTGGGTGCCTGATGCCATTTGGTTGCGGTTTTGTTCATCTTCTGTAACCACTGCATCATGGCGCTTGATTCCTCCTGAGCCGTTTGCAATTTGGTGAGTTTACTATTCAGTTCGGTTATTTTATCCTTAAGTAAGAGGCCAAGCTCTTCGTAACCGTGATTTATGTCGGTCATATTTTTTTTAATAGATGTTAATCCTATGAATAAGACAAATTATTATGTTGACACGTTTTCAGGATGTTTAGAGTAGAGCTCTAAAAAGAAAAGTTTGCTTTATAGGATATTCCCTTCTATTTTGTCAATATTAAGCCTACTATGATAAAGTCAGAATCTTTAGAATAGGTTAGATCATCTTATAATGCTATTTAATGACAAATAATTTAGGGACATTATGTAATACATGTGAAATAAAACAGATATTGTAAATATAATAAAAAAACCGCATGCCATATTACTTATTAATTCTTTAGGTATCAAACCCAAGAAAATAGCTTAAGTAATATGTCCAGAGAAAAAATACCTCATATTAATCAAAAAGAAGGAAACATAACCAAAGGCCAAACTGAACTACTGGGTTTCACTAATTTCAGATGAACAAAATTACATAAGATGCCATATAAATATGATATTTATAGAGAATGCGACTATCATATTAAAACAATTTAATTTCATTAGAAGTTTTAATATAACTACTATTCACCTCTGAGAAGACTTCCTCTCAAAAAGATTACCAATTTATTGTAATCAATAAGCACTTAAAGCTACTATTCACCTTTATTTGCCAAAATTTCCTGAGTATCTGTGGCTGTTCCTTCACCATTTAACATTACTCCACCTGCGAAAATATTATCACTGAAGTCATCACAGATTTCCATAGTATTTCTACACATTGATAGTAGGTGACATGAAATCAAACCCCAGTAAGCAGTCATTATTTTAAGATGTTGTTACTATTTGAAAATATAAAATACTGATTTAATTTCAAAATTAAATGAAGGTGCGAAATGTAAAGATCAAGCCATATCGTTTCTTCTCTACAAAATTCATCCTTCAAGTAGTGACATGATCACCTTAAACATGAGAGTTTCAGTAAATGTACATGCATACGTTACTCATTAAATGTGAGTTTAGAACATGATTCCGCGATGAAGTGTCTTTGTTGGCAGCTACGTTAGTGATCAAGTCTCTGAACCTCAGGGGTTGACCAATGAGAGAGTCGCGGGAAGCACACAAGACTGACGGACAAAAAGAGCTTTTACCTTACTTAAGAAGCTGAAACCCATAAGTGCATTGACACAGTGTGATCACAGGTCGCACAGAGGTAGACCGATGTAAAAAGACAGGGCAGAAACGTTAAAAGTAAAAAAAGAAAAAAATCCTATTGCTACATTCACATTGTGTCTGCAACAGGAAGAGAGGAGAGTGCAGGGGCTGAAGGCCTGGGTGTCTGCACATCACTCACCTGAGCGGGGCCCCCGGCCCACTCACCACTAGCTATGTGACTGGACAAATTAGTCACCACTTCGCCAAGCTGACAGGGAAAAGAATGCCTACCTTATGAGACCACAGTAAGAATTAAACGCAGTAAACCTATATTGCCTATAAAATAGAAACTGCTCAGTGAGTAGTCATTATTATTTCTTTTAATTATATAAACATGTAGCCTTGGTAGCTTTTTCCATAATTAGAATATTAAACAAATAATTACTTTGTTGTCCAAGAATGCATTGGCAATCTATCCAACACGCAAAGACACTTCCCAAAACTAACCACATGAGAGCAATTCTAAACAAACAAAAACATTTAAATATCTGAATCTTAATCTAAGTTTTGTCTCTTTAAAAAACACACACACACAATGACATTTCGGATGGATGAGAAAATATCCTGAAGATGCTCAAGATTAATTCTTACCATGTTTAGCAGTTATCAAGAACGAAAAATATTTTAAAAGGGCAATGTAAACTTCATCTTTTCATTGTTTATGCTGCTGCAGTTGTCCCCGCTTTTTGTTCCCTTTGCCCACCCTCACAAGCCCCACCCCCGCCCCTGGAAGCCAATCCCCATGTCACTGTCCGTGTCCATGTGTCGTTCACAAGGTTCTTTGGTTAATCCCTTCACCATCTTTCTTCCATTCTGCAGCCCCCTCCATTTTTACTTATTGCAAATAGAAAGTGGACATGAAAAACTAAAATAAAACACTGCAGAATTCCTTTTCTTAAAAATAAACCTGACATTTCAAGAAATCTGATGAGGAGAGGAAAGAGAGATCATCACATCACATAAAATAGGAGCGCTCCCTGGGATGGGGTTCATGGAGCAGAATAAACGGTTGGCTGAGCGCCCGACGGAGCGTCTCTCACAGCAGGGACAGACGGGGGCTGGGCAGGACCCAGAAACCACAGCAACTCTCGGAATAAAGATATGGGATCTGCCTTCTGTCTGTTCTTGGATTTAAAAAGATTAAAAACACTGAAATTGACAATAATGTAAGTATGTTTAAATTTAAAACTATTCCCACAACTTAATTTTATCAATAGAATCATTATTTATACACAAGCCTCCATTTCTGTTGAAAAGAGTGATTCACCCATAATAAAGATTGTGATTTAGATGTTAACTGGTTAACATATTACATAATTGTTTTCTTTGTGAATAGTGTGAGGAGTAGAAGCAGCTGGGAATGAAATGAGAGGTCCACTCTACAGAAAAGCACCTGTTTCCTTCCCTCACCTCCTCTTTCCCAGGAGGCCCGACTCACTTCTAGATCAAGTATTACAAATAGAAGTTTAACATCTCCATTCATTAAGGTAAAAAAACAAACAAATCAAATCTGATCTTTCCCTTTCCCCAATATCATGCTTCTCCCCTTCTTACAAATTAATTTACCTATATTTTAGTTGTAGTCTTTAATAAAATAAAACATGAGCAGGATTTAAAATCTGACCACCACAGATAATTTTCCATCAGAGCTTTTAGCATGTTTATGGGTGCCATCTTTCTTCTTACTTTCCCCTTGTATTTCTGAGATTATTTTATGCATTGATGAATAACACAGAGAAAGAACATGATCATGAGCCAGCCCAGTTCTTATGGGTCTTGCCATGAATGGAAACAAAACACATACCTGATGTAACTGCCGCTACCGCCTTTGCAGGGGTGGTCAAGGCACTTATTAGGTTACATAGTGAGATCCCACTGCTGTTTACCTTCTGAATCTCTGGTGTTTTTAAACTCCACTCTTCTTGCAATTTCTTGAGGTATAAAAACACATTATTTTTCAGTCTTCATATTTTCAGAGTTATACATTACAACCCAATTTCTTAAACATGTTTTAAAACAATAATGGTTGTGGGTCCCGATTCATGGGGGGGTGGATGGAAGAACAAGGTAGCATCCCTATTTGCTCCAACAGCCCAGGTGACCGTTGACACTGTTAGCAGGGAGGAGCGGAGCAGGGTCAGCCTGCATTCTGCTCCCAGCCGCAGTGGAAGCCCCGCTCTGCCTGGCTGCCATGGGTTCTAAACTGTCAACTGTAAGTATGGAGCATTACACCCGGTAACAGGCAGGTTACGAGAAGAACAGTACTGGAAACAATTTAAAAAATGGGAATTCAAAATTCCATTTAAGAGTGTGTTTTAATCATCAAAATTTCAGTGAACTTTGAAAAACACACACCTCCACAAATTTGGAGTATAAAAATTGGTGCAACTGGTCGTAGGTTTTGACGAGTCAGATGACAAAAAGACTTGCACACGTTGTAGTGGAGATTAAATTAACCCCTATCTTCAAATATTGGTTATAGTGTTATGCTCAGGCTACAGTGAAATGCTGAGTTAAAGAGAGATTCTGTTACTTAACATTATGAGACATGGCATAAAAATAGCTGAAACTAAGTAGAGATTTTGTGAAGAAGGGAACTTAGTTACTGTAAGAGTGAACAACTCACTATCTCTTTAAAAAAAGCAAATTAATTCCTCAAAGGATCATATAGCCCCATGCCATGATTTCCAAATACATTAAAAACATACCCTACCTGCACGAAGATCTAACTTATGTGACGCTAAAAACAAGGAAGCCACTATTCATCTGAACCTCTAATTACCAACACAGGCAAATGAGCAATTAGTATTAGACATGACGATGCACCTTAGTTTCTTCCAAAGATTTTCCTAAGTCATCTGCACCAAAAGAAGGCTGCACAATGGGAACTCTTTCTGTGGTTTCTTTTATCCATGACTTTAATGATTCAGCCAGGACTTGGAAAGCATCCATCTGTTCTTGACAAGAAGACACAGCTTCTTTCCTAGATACAGAAATTATTGACGAATTTAAGCCACAGAAAGAAGACACTCCAAAGGACTAATTACTAATAAATAACTTTTCTAAAATCAGATTTAATATTAAGAAAAAATCTTCCCCCACATACACTCTAACCATTTGATACAGGAGGAAAGGTTTATAGGTAGTAAATGAAATCGACTGAGAATTTGTCTAATTCTCAAAGGCAAGGTCTATAGATAAAGTTGGGAGAAGAAATCTGTACCCCATATGTAATGGCACTCCATAATGCTACATAAACCCTATATAAACAGTTTTAACATTATTTAGATTCAATGAGCTTTGATCTGTCCACTTTATTGGCGCTTACTGCTAGCAGGCACAGAACCAGAGGGGAAACGTTTACACAGCACGGACATGAGGAAAACGTTACGCCACCTACTGGTTCTTATACTATACTACAATCACTTTAGTGGATGGATAAAAGCAGGTGCTTTTAAAGCATGGATTTCAGGCGCCAAAAGAGGTGAGACCTTAGTGGCTGAAAAGTTTTAATGGCTGTCTCCCCTATAGATATTGAGGAAGCTCCTAGGTTAACTATGTGGATCTTTCTGTACCTCACACCACGGAGGGGGGCACATGCCTAGCACCAGAACAGCTGTGGAGACAGACTGTGAACGTGGACGACATGTGGGTACCATGTGCACATGTGCAAGCGTGTGGAATACTGGCACATAAAAGCACACTGCGGCTGGACTAATTGCTGATGGCTGCGTGGTTTTAGAATCGAATCCATTTGAGAGAAACAACCTAGAGTTTACCTAAGACAACCAAGACCGTTTCTTCTGTGTAAAATATGGATCAAATATTATATGACAAGATGGGAAATATAGCTCCATGAGAAGTACAGACAGCGCTCAGAAGCTCTAGGGAGAGAATGATGAAGAAATAACAAATAGTTGAAAGAGAAATGACAATTTTCTATTTGGGGAGGGGGGTCTTCTGTATCAATGTTAGCAAAACCAGATGTTCTATGTGTGCTGAACTAACATGAGATCAGAAACACAAAAGTTCCTTCACCAGGCTAAGCCCTGTACAGCTTTGGAGCTCAGCTTAGGTTCGTTCTCTTGTTTCTTATCTTGACTGTTCATAGAGTCATGTCTTATCAACAACTCAAACAAAGTAAATTATTTTACAAAAAAAAAAATCCAGGCTCTGAATTGAACCCAGAAAACAACAAATCATGAGCTATCTTAAGGTTATTTCTGCCATATACTGAGCCTTGCAAATAAAAAGGTGGTATTTGCCAAAGGCTGCAGACACTCCGGTAAGTTTCGGTTATTTTCAGTAATACACTATCACCACCATTTTCCTTACATAATGCTTTCTACTTTTATGTATGATGTCTTGAATTTCCCTACAAATATTTTAACAAAACTACACTTAATTGTAATAGCAAAAAAAAATCAACACAAAAGCACTTATCTAGTAGTCTGTGCTTATTCACAAGTGTTCAAAGTTGTTTCAGGTATCTATGTAAGTATATAAAAATAAATCATTCTAATTAGTATCGCACAGAATAAAATCTAATTTGTTAAGTGGTGCTTACTTTTCCTTGATGGTATCCTCCATTTCTTTGAATTTCTTGGACAAATTATTTGTTTTTTCAAAAACCAGGGCCTTATCACCTGGCAAGCCATGGTTGGATATCTCCTTCAAGAGACTGTGCAAAACTTCCAGATCTTTCTTGCGTTGTAAGAATTCAGAAGTTGATTCCTACAAAGCATTTAGATATCCAATCAATGTAAGATGTTGCTAGAGCTTCAAATGGCATCCCATCAAGAAGTACGAATGTGACCAGAATCTGACATGAACACAATCCTGCCCTATGGTCAGTATTCTAAATATAAATAAACATGCAAGCAGGTTGTTTAGAACACAGTGAAGTTCACTTAATTGAAAATTTCACTTTTTACATCTGTCCCTTTGTGAGTTCTGGCACATGAGAAGCTTACATCATTTAAGAGATGTGAAAAGTGTATGTGCGAGATACGGTGTTCATTTCTAATCAGTGAGCAAAGGCTTCGAGGAGAAGCTGGGCTTTGTGCTTTGTAAAGAAAGAAAGCAGAGCTCTTTACTAATCCATCAGCAAATGAAATGATGATGGCTAATTAGAATTCTGCCAGTAAACAGATGAGCTTGTCTCAACTGTTCATGTACTTGACCAGCCTTGTGAACACTAAGGAAGACACACCTGCATATACTGAGACAACTCAGTAACATCTTTTCCTGGCACATCTGCCTCAGTGAGGGTCTGACTTTTTGTCTCTAAAAACGTTTGAAGCTTTTCTGAGAGGTTCTCAAACAGTTCTACTTTGGTTTTCAGCTCCTCCATTTTCGCAAGTTTCTCTTTCTGTTTATGGCTTGCTTCTGAGAACCGAACAGACAAGTCATTCATTTTGGCTTGCAGTGAGGATGCGGTAGACGGGTCTGTTGTTTCCATAAACTTCTTCACTTTTTCATTCATGGCATTTATACTGCCCTGGCGACTCGCGATGTCCTGTTCCAGCATCTGAAACGAATCAAGTATTGCATGTGTTTTATAAGAATGTTTACAAATAATGTCCCAGAGTTTTAAAAATTACTCTTCCTAACAACATAAGCTTAACAACCTGTGACGAAGGAAGGTTAACGGTTGGGGCTGACTGACAAGTTTGATCTGTCCCTTGAGGAATCCCATCCCAAATCTCTTCTAGGGAGAGCAGGGAACAGCTGGCTGGTTGCCTGAGAGAGGCAGGAGGCGGCCTCTCCTCAGCAACCCGGGGGATCTAGTGGAGCCTGGGGATTATCCACGGTCCTAATTTTTAAAAGGCTAGACAACAACAAGATTGATCTGATTAACCTCCTGTGCAGCTGGCTGTGGCAGTGACAACCACGATGGGACTCGAGGTGTGTGTAAGCCCCTATAATGAATAATATTCATGAAAAAGAACACAGAACTCTTTCTATACTCCCTCACAGAGAACTCATTTTGCACATCCCTTTCTGTGCAAGCATTCCTTTCCACAGATACATTTGGAAAATGTCTGTTCTTCTATATCCTTAAATTTATCTTAAGTTTACTTATCCTTAGAACTATGTAATTGGGTTTATTTTTTAACCTAAAAGTGGCATTCTTTTTTTTTTTTTATATGTGACTTACGATGTTTTTACTGATGACATCCTGGAGAGCAGCAGAGTTTAAGGGCACTTGACCTTGTTCTCTCAGAGAACTTTCCACACCTGCCATCCAGCCGAGCATGTCATCCAGGCCGTCCTGTACACTCAGGGAGCGGGTCAAGGTTATCTGGAGTTTTTCATTGCGTTCATTAACAGACTTGGCCAGATCATCGTATCTCCCAACAATGTCATCTAGTCCAGGAAAATCAGGAGATGTTATCCACAAAGTTACCTTTGCCCTAGTCCTGTTAAAAAATACACTAGGAGGAAATCACATCACAAAATTTCCACACCAAAGCTGGAAGAGAAAAAGATTTAAATGATAAATTCATAATGCATAGTTAGAGCACCACCTAAAATCTTAAGAAAGAAAGAAAAGGTCACACTGGAAAATGAAAAATATTTTTAAAAATACTTCATACATGTATCGTCGGCACTTGCAAAGACAGTTTAGATGCATGAACATTTCAGTTGTCCCAGACAGAGATGAGGGCAGTCCACACAGCAAATCTTTGGAGTAAATGCACATTCCCAGTCAGACATTTCAGATGAGCCACACTTACTAATGACTATATGGAAGGTAAAAAGACACCCTCACACACTGCTGTTCTCAAGGAACAATGTATATCATCATAAAGACTCGCCAAGAATCAACCTTTAGGTGTAAAAATCCTCCCTCCCTTGCACTAGCTCTCTCCCTCTCACACGTATATAAATTAAGCTTCTGTCACCACCTAAGGAGAGTACTCAAGTGCACAGAAATTTGTAAATGCAAATGTACTGAGAAAGCATACAACAATAAAAATCCACTTAAAACAATCCAATTTAAAAATGAACAAAGGACCTGAACAGACACTTCTCCAAAAAGAACACAGAGATGGATGATAGACATGTGAAAAGTTGCTCAAGACCACTAATCATCAGAGAAATGCAAATTAAAACCACAAAGAGATATATCACCTCACACCAGTCAAAATAGTTATCATCAATAAATTAGCAAACAGCAAGTGCTGGTGAGGATGTGGACAAATGGGACTCCATTGGTAGGAATGCAAATCAGTGCAGCCACTCTGGAAAGCAGTATGGAGATACCCCCCAAAAATTAAAAATAGATCTGCCTTTTGACCCAGTGATCCTACTTCTGGGAATATATCAGAAAAACACAAAATACTAATTTTAAAGAACATAAGCACCCCTATGTTCATTGCAGCATTATATACAAACGCCAAGATATGAAGCAGCCCAAGTGTCCATCGATACATGAGTGGATAAAACAACTATGGGACATTTATAGGATGGAATACTACTCGGCTGTAAGAAAGAAGAAAATTTTATCCTTTGTGACAGTATGGATGGACCAGGAGAATATCAAGCTAAGTGAAATAAGCCAGTCAGAGAAAGACATACCTTATTATCTCACTTATATGTGGAATCTAATTACCAAACTGAACTAACCAGCAAAACAGAGACAGACTCAGGGAACAGGATGACAGCTATGGGGGGCAGAGGTTGGGGGTAGAAGGATGGAGCAAAAAGAAAAAAAGGGCTCATGGACACATACAGTAGTGTGGTGATTGCAGGGGGGATAAATGGCAATGAAAAAAACACAATACAATAAAAATAAATAGATAAAGAAGGTTGAGATTAGTCTTCTAAAATATACACAAATAGAATTTATTTAAAAAGTTTAATACCAGACAAAAGGGAAAAATAAACAAGGTTAACAGGTCAACATATCTGAGATGAGATTAACTATACTTTTAATTCTAAAGCTGTGAAATGCTTAAAAAAAACCTTTCTGGTCTAATTTTCACTTGCATGTAAAGCTCTATATTTTAACATTCTACATCAATGCAGGATGTTAATATTTTAACATCCTACATTCTATGCTGCAGAACAATGAAAAGTTCCAAGGACAACGGTTTTTAACATTCTCTCTCTCTGAAACAACCTGCTTTTAATTGTTAATTTATTGGTTATATTCCAAGAATTTGAAAAGTATTTTAATTATCTCTGAATACTTTAGTCTGATGCACTGTAGAATGCTTCAGTAAAAGAAAATTTGGACCTAAAACATCTCTATAAAAATGAACTATCTTGCATGCTTGTGTTTGGCCCAGGGAATGTAATCCATAGAAACAAACAATATTTCTTCTTAATCGTTCTGATATTGTATCATGAGAAAACAGGCAAATTTCCACTGAAGTGAGATATTATATTTCAATGACTCAGACAGACATTTAGGCTCCCATCACTAAAACACAATGAATCCCCTTGGAATGCTGACAGGGGAGGCAGACAGCACTGAATGAGCCTGATACTGGCAGGGGAATAAGCAATGGGTTCAAGTAGAAGTCCTAATTCCAAAGAGCAAATACTCTGAATTGCAGGTGGTCATGGGCAGGTGAGCTGCTTCTCAGATGGGCAACTAACCCTCTGGTCACATCGGCCACCCTTGAACCCTGCTAGTGATTTCCTGAGCAGCCATCTTAATTACATTAACTCAGTTTTGGTGTTACTGGTATTTATGGACCTCTTTGTAAAGAAATACTATCACTGAAGTAAAATCTTGATTTCAGTAAATACAATTATTTTAGGAAAAGGTACAGAACAAAATGTACTAAAATATTATTTTTAAGTGGTTGATTTTTTTAGAAGTTATATAGATCCTAGAGAAACTCCTCTAAATCTTAAATATACTTACACATATTCCTAGAAAATTATGCCTGAGAGAAGTTTTAAAGTCTTAAAATTATATAACATATGGACTGTAAACAAATAAAAGCCAAACTAAGTATGACTAACAATGGGGAAAGTGCCTGTCCAAATAACAGAAACACGTATAACACAGTTGTGCTTCCCCTCCGGTCCCTGCACTCAGCCCCTCACAGTGGCTCGGCCTGCGTGGGGCTTGGGGACAGCGCCCTGGGGTGCTGAAAACAAAGGTCAGAGCGTCCACTGGTATTTCTGCCTTACACTTTGAAACATTATATTTGTGTGTATTACAGTTACAGTACACATAATATAAGACAGTGATATGTGTATGTAGTTTATGGATATGTGTGCATATATGAGGGCACATACTAAAAATTCTTGGATAAGGATGCAAGATCAGAAGAGTTTGGCTGTCTCTGTACAGGTTCCCCCCGTAGAGTGGTTTTGGAAGAGCAAAGCTTATTCTTTGTCTGAAATTTCTATTGCGATTTCGGTTCATGCTCCCTTTGGGGGGAAGGACATGTCTGATCATCTGCTCATCTCTCGACCCCTTAAACCCGTGCTCCTGCTCCAGAGAGAAAGATCCCACTGAAAGTCTGTTTTGGAAAGCCCCGCTTTCTGTAGTGACGATTAGATAAAGACTTTCTGTTACATTGTCTGAATATAAAATTGAAATTTATTTATATCTCTAAATAGACTCTTTTCAATGTACACAGCCCCCATTTCCAGATGCTAACGTTCCTGCCAAAGGAAGCATGCCTTCTCCCAGAACGAGAAGCACCATTCCACGGGGAAAGGCTGTGAATGCAGCATGTGCTGGTGACCCTTTTTCCCATATCCATTAGAATCCCTTCATTTAAAACAAGGAAATGAACACTCACCCAGTGTTTTCTGGATCTCATTCTTGGCTGGAAGCAAAGATCCCCTGGCATCTAAAAGCACTTCGGCTGTTTTTTTCAGTTTCTCTACAGCAACCTGTTGACTTGATATCTGTCCTTGTAGAGCCTAGAGGACCGAATGCTTCAATTACACTTGGTAGGACTAAGTAACAGATTTCCAACAGGAGAAAAATGACTCACAGAAAAAAGGTAGAGTTAAGGTGGACAGAGGAAACCCTTCATCATCATAAACTCACTCCAGAATTCTTAGACTACAGCCAGTTATAGAGTAGCATTAGCAGAAGCATCAGCCAGTCAGCATAATACAAACTCAGCCTTGAAATTAATCTTGAGCATATGTTCATGATAACTGGCCTTATTTCTGACCTTGTGACCTCCCCCCACCGTTGACCCAAGTTGCCCCTTAACCCCCATTTTTAGGCTTTGTACAATACTCCCACTACTACTACGAAACAAAAACAAACGAAAAACAAGTATCTCCACTTAAAAATACAATTAAGGACCTCTATTTCAGCGGCTCCTGAGTCACATTTCTTTCTGTTATTTCAATAAGAGTCACGTAATATCTGTCATATTAAAAAAGATCTTGCTACATTTTGTGAGAAATACAGAAATCAAACACACATGGAGCTTACTCACAGGGATCCCCTAGCCTAAGACAGGAAGTGATTAAATGCCAAAAATGAGTTTAAAAAAGTATCACCAGAAGTTGAGAGAAGGAATAACGGGAGAGGAAAATGGTGTCACCTCTGGGACAGAGGCGTTGAGATGGGTCCTGAGAAAGCATGGATTTGGGCAAAGGGAAGGGGAGGTGGAGAACAAAGAGAAGGAGCAAAGATGGGAACAGAAACATCTGGGGAAAACCAGAGTCCCGCCCGGTGTGAGAATGTATACAGTCGAATAAATACTAATAGGACTGAAAAGGCCTCAAATGTCAGGCTGGGGAGTTTACACTTTATCTTGCAGCAATAGGGAGACACTCAGAGCTCTGGAGTGAGGGGGTGTCATGCTCTGAGCTGTCTCACGGAAGGCCAAGTCGGTAACACTGTGTGGGATCCACGCAAGGGGACAAAAGGAGGCATGAATACCACCAGTTAGGGCAGCTTCGCAGTAATAAAGCCGAGAGGGCATGTCTGAGCTGAGAAAGCAGAGTTGGTTAGAGTTGGGAAGAGTCCATGGGACTCGATGATTGATCATCTACAGCTGTGCTGTCCAATACGGAAGCAACTTACTGCATGTGGTTTTTAAACTTAAATTCATTGAAATCAAACGGAATTCAAAATTCACTCTCAGTTGCACTAGCCACACTGCGAGTGCTAAGTAACCAGGTGTGACTGGGGGCTACCGCATTGGGCTGAGCAGATTAAAGAACATTTGCGCCATCACAGAATGTTCGGTAGACATCTCTGCTTGCAAGGGCAGGTACAAAGGACACAGGTGAGACTTGAGAAGTACCCAAAGTTTTTGAGCCCAGGGAATGAATGGAATTCATAAGCCAAAGTGGGAGCAAGTTAAGGAGCAAACAAGAGTTTGTTTGGGAATTCATGACTTCAAAGTGATTTGGGGGACACTCGCACAGGCACAGCAGAGCCACCGTAAAGGAGACTCTGAACACAGGCTACAACTATACACAAAGCCCTGGGAGTCAAGCCCCGTGATGAGACTGAAGGGAGAAAGCACAGAAATACCAGAGAAGGAGGCCCTAAAGAATCATGGAGAGTACTTACGTATGGAAGTGATAAGGAGTGGAAAAAGGATAGACCAGAAGTGATCGGGGAGGTGGAAATGAGCCCAGAACAATTCTGTCCCCAAAGTTTGAGGGAAGAGAGAAAGTGGAAACGGTTAACTGTCAGCTGCTTCAAAAGGATAATGTAACCTTTAGTTTGCTGCAGAGAGGTCCCTGGAGTGCTTGGAGTGAGCAGATGCACGTGAACAGCAAGAGTGAGGAGAAAGGAGGTAGAGACGGGAACCATAAAGTCCTGCAGAAGTTTGGCCCTGCCTTCCCAACACCTCCGTCCAAATGGGCTGCCTGGCCACCCGGGCCCCAGGCTTGGCTTTACTTTCACTTGAGGTACTCAAGCTCCTCTTCTCGTCTCACATTTGGATTTCAAATCCAAATTCCCATATGTCTGACTGTCGATGAACTCATCCCTGGCCATGGGCCCAGGTTTCCAACAGCCTCTTGAATGTTTCCATCTGGGTGTAAACAGTCACCTCAAATTCAGAAAGCTAAATCTGAACCCATCCCCTCACTCCCTCCACCTGCACTTCCTCCTGGGGTTGCACCTCATTACCCAGGTAATAAACCTAAGGCTCCTCCTGAACTCCCTCCTTTCCACCTGCAAATCCACCATTGAGACCTCACAATTTTACCTGCTAATTTTTTTAAACATCAGACTTCTGCTTCATATATCTGGATCACTGTAGGATAATCTCTCACTTAATTGGAAACAGCATTCTAACTGTGCTTCCTGCTCCAACATCTTCCCTAAAATGCGTTTTGTGGAAAACACAGCTCTCTGTGTTTTCACTCCTCTCTCCAAACTCTTTCAGAAGCTTCCTATTTCCTTCCTAATAAATGCAGAACTTGAGCATGCTATAAAAAGTCCAGTGAAATCCATTCCTTAATTCTATCTTTAATCTCATCTTTCTCTACTTTCTGTCCCCGAAATGTCCAACACACAGCTATTTCTTAGCTATTTGCTCAAACTAGACCCAATGCTTTAGCATCTCTACACACCAATCTTCCCACATGCAACCTACCCCCGGCCATCACCCTGAGCTTAGCTCTTATTCCCTCTTTAAAATTCAGCTGGGAAGCCTTCCCTGGCTCTCTCCTGAACCCTACTTAAGTACTCCCCCTCCAGGAGCTCCTGTGAATATCACTGGGTTGATTGTCTCTTCTATCAAACTATCTTCTTCAAGAATTAGGAATTTATCCTGTTCAGGTTTCTATTATTACTGCCTAGCCCAGTGTTTGCAATAGAGTAGGCCTTGACTAAAGTTCCTAGAGTAAGAAGAAACCCAAAGCACTAATTCAAAAACATACAAGCACCCCTATGTTCATGGCAGCATTATGTACAACAGCCAAGATATGGAAGTAACCTACGGGTTCATCAGTAGATGAGTGGGAAAAGATGTGGGACATATATACAATGGAATATGACTTGGTGATAAGAATAAAATCTTGCCATTTGAGACAACGTGGATGGACCTAGAGGGCATTATGCTAAGTGAACTATTTTGGAGAAAAGATAAATACCATATGATTTCACTTATATGTGAAATATAAAAGACAAAATAAACAGAACGAACACACTCATAGGTACAGAGAACAAACTGACAGTTGCCAGAGGAGAAGGGGGTTGGGAGGACGGGTGCAAAGGGGCAAGGGGTTGAGAAGTACAAATTGGCATTTACACAGTCGTCCCGGGGACGTAAAGTACGGCATAGGGAATCTAGTCAATAATATTGTAACAACTATGTATGGTGTCAGGGGGGTACTAGATTTATCAGGGTGACCACTTCATAAGGTATATAAATGTCTAATCACTATGTTGTACACCTGAAGCTAATATAATATTGTGTGTCCACTGTAACTGAAAAATAAAAAAAAATATTTTAAGGAAAAAACAAAGGGGCATTTAGAAAAAAGTTTCTGGAATAAATGAGTGAATGAATGAGTAAATTGATGAAGATATCAGGTGGAAGACTTTAAAAGATCCTTCTCTATTTCAGCACTTGATGACAAACACAGGAAGAAAAATAAACGAGACATGAATGCCTTAAGCAACAGCAACAATTTCCTCAACTTATTTTTATAGCCAAGAAACGGTGGCAATGTCCAGGCAATGGCACAATGTCAGCAAGCCCACCGAACCGCGACCGGCATGCAGTCTCTGGTTTGACTACAGATGTTGCAGCTGCTCCAAGTGGCCAGAGGGTCTGTGTCAGAGGGAATCTGCTGGGGAAGGTCTCCCAGAAGTCTAGTTACAGAGAAGTATTATATGAGAAACCCCTCAAGGAACTTGACCTGTGACCAGCCTGAAACCTAAGCCGCAGGGACAGCTCATTTGTACTGTGTGGTTATTCAGGATATAAAAAAAGGTTAAGGATTCCTCCAAAACACAGCGGTTTTAGAATGTGAGTTCCCCAATGGCAGAGGTAGCGTTTTAACATCTTTGGGTCTTCACAAAACCCAACAGTGGGCCTGGCACGTCAGGGTCTACCCAATACACACACACACAGCGCGAGTGCCGCTGTGGTTCTAGAAAGTCATCCAGTATCAAAGCAGCACCCCCATCACTGTGGAACTTAGAAATGGATTACAAAAGAAGCATTCTTTCTTCATCTGTCTCTTCAAAACATCCCATGCTTTCTCTGTCCATAATTATGCTTGAGAGAGTCAAGAGTTTTTATTCCTAATATGGTATCGGGTTATAATTTAGCCAAAATGGTGGTTTATAGTACTAATTTGGGGGGAAAACTACAAATTAAGGTATTCAAATGAGTACCATATATTGTTTTTAGTGGACTTCAGTGAAATTAAAACATGAGAGAAGCATCAGTGACAGGGAATACTGAAAGATTATGACCTTGATCTCTAGCCTGGACCAGAAAGGGATGAACTTGGGCACTTGTCCAGCTCATAAAAGTTTCCTGACTTATAGCCACCTCAGAGACCACTGAGAGGTTGGACAGTAGACTCGTCAGTCGACATGACCTAGCCCCATGGCTGGTCCCGAGCCCAGTCCAAGAAAGAAAGGGGTCACCGTTCCCCTTTCCTCCCGACATGTCTCCTCCCTCCTCCCACCCCCTGCTTCCAGCCCCCTTCTCTCTGCCTTGGTCTTCAACGGCCACACTGCGCCCCAGGGTATGACTTAGCTTTCTTCCAGCCTCAAGGCACCAGTCTCAGGCAATTCCTAATGTGAAGCTCACTCAGGACCTGTTCTCCTTGTTAACAGCACGGTAATGATTTTTGATTCTGTAACTAACAGATGTAACTAAATTCTGAAAGGCAGTTGTTTAACTGGCAATACAGTGTTACTTTCTAGCTATGGCGGTGCTAACACTACAGGAAGGAAAGAATTGAAGAGTGTATTTATGAAATTAAACTTTCAAACTCAAAAGTATTGGTCATATGGATTAAGAATAAGATCTTTCAAAAATTATCTCCCCTTACATTAGGATGCTAAAATATGCTTTCAATTTAAGAAACAGAGACTCTCCCGGCTACTGTGGGTATGTATAGTTGAGGCCTCCACAGTTATGCTGTTCCCATATCAAGCCTGCAGTTTTGAAGAAGCAGGTAGACTTTCTGAGAACTGAGCTGGGTAACAAAAGTTTGTATCCCTATGAATCACAGGAATCTCAATAGGAATACTGATCCTGGTCCTCAGAGCCCACACGTGACAGTGAGACCCCTTCTCCCCTGCTAGCTGTCCCTTCTTCAACAAATATTTACTGAACACCCACAACAGGTCAGGTCCTGTTGTAGCTGCTGGGGATATGGCAATGAACAAAATAAACAAAAACATTTGCCCTCATGGAGTTTAGCTCTAATGTTAGAGAAAAACAATAAATGAAATAAATATGTATAGAGATAAACAAGTGGCCCAGACAGTCTGGGTTTTTGTTTGTGGAGGTGGGACCAATGGCATGCAGGGAAGAAGCCATAACAGCAATGTCAACCCAGCTCAACAACAGGAGAAAAAACAAGGTCATTGGAAAGAGAGATAAAGATGGTTGAGAACTGAAGTTATAACTCCCTCTAGAGGGAGAAATACACTTTTCCATCCTTTGTTCTCCTTCCTTAGGTGAAACTACCACAAGACTGGGAAAGTGAAAGCTTTTCAGTATGACTATTGAAGGGTTGGGTCCTCCCCTGTCTCTGTGTGTGTGTGTGTGTCTCTCTCCTCTTTACCTTGGTCTCTTCTAATTGCCTTTGCAGATTTTTAGGGTCCACCGCAATGGGTTCAGATAAGTGTTTGCTCGCTGTGACCTGGCAGGCCTGGAGCTCAGAAAGAAGTCCACATGAAGCATCTTCGTAGTGTTGGTATTTATCCACCAGATCTTTAAGATTATTCCCAAGGACACTGCACTAAAAAAAATCAAGAGTAAAAGGGTGGAGAATTAAAATCTATTATTGTTATTTGTGATAAATAACCTTAGAACCTGAGTTCTGTAACTTAAAAAACACCAGACTTTGACCAATGTGAGTTGAAGCTATAGGGCTAAGATTTTTGCCTTTAAACGAAGAAACATGCTCTGACCAAGTCCAGCTGAGGATCTGGACATCAGTCATCAGAGGAGGCTGATCTACCAGGCCCGTTTCCATTAGGTTTTATACACCACGCGTCTAGATATGTATTTGATGGAAAGGTTTTCAAGGTGCTTAATGAATCACTTCTATATGTTACAAAATGAAGCAAAGACCAAGAGCCAGCAATGTTCTTCATATCAATTGTGCAGCTTTGGTCAGGCTGTTCAACATACAATCAGGGGAATGTTTTCTTACTTTTGTTTGAAGAAAAAAGCAACTCTTTTACTTGCCCAAGGGAATATGCAGCTGAAACAGTCTGTGACTCATTAAGTATTAAAATAATACACTGATCAAATATGTCTGTAAAACAAACACTGGCAGCATCTGTGAAGGGAAGCGTCTGAGACAAAACTAGTTCTCAAACTTGAGAAGCCGCAAAAAATTAGCAAGCCATTCTGTTTGCTTGGAGACAAAACATAAACACCACCTGGTGGTCAAATTGGGTATTACTGAGTTTTAGAAATCACTCAAAACTGAAAAAAAATAACTTTAGGCTCCTAATCTTTAAAAACTTTTTTTTTAAGTAAAAAAAAAACAAATATAACTGAGGTAAACAAGATAAAATGTAAAATTATCTTATTTTCTCTGCTTTAGTTTTTAGGTTTCTCACTTCTAATCCAAAACCAAAAGTTAAGAGGATAGAATAAAAACTATAATCACAGACTGATCTTCCCCTTAGAAAACAAAAACAAGCCCTGGCTGGTGTAGCTCAGTGGACTGAGTGCGGACCTGCGAACCACATGATCGAGGTTCGATTCCCAGTCAGGGCACATGCCTGCAGGCCAGTTCCCAGCAGGGGGCTCACAAGAGGCAACCATACACTGATATTTCTCTCCTCTCCTTCCCTTCCCCTCTAAATATAAATAAATAAAATCTAAAAAAAAATTACCTTAGAGTAGAGAGACCTGAACCGATCGGTGGCCTGGTCCAGTTTGCCCTGGACTTCTCTGTGAGTGGCCGAAGTGTCGATGTTACTCTGCTGGTCAGCCTTGCCAGCTCCGTCTCCTCGGCTGCAAGATTTGGCTGCTTCTAACACCCTGTTTCCAGAAATTGTGATGTACCTCAAGTCCCCTTTGTGAGAAATGACATCTTCTGAGAAACTCTTCTGCCTCTTCAGTTTGGTCATTAAACCAGCGAAGTCATCTGCATCTGCCCCCAGGTTTTCGAGTTCTTGCTCCGACTGCTGCAGCCAGTGCTCAAACTCGCTGTAGTCGGCATCAAACTTCTCCAGTTCTTCCTGCAGAGAATGCGTTAACTTCATTTGCTTTTCCGACTCAGCCAGTGCAGTTTCGTAATGCGCTTTCAGGTCCTTCATGTTCTTTTGCAGTTTCTCTTTCTCCTCGGGAGAGAGATAGTGACCCTGTTTCTCAAGCAAGGCTTGTGCGGACTGAGTGGCCACGAGGACAGCTTGGTGCTGAGAGACGATCTTCTCATGCTGGGCCTGCGTGAAAGGAATCAAACGCGCCGTGACTTCAGGGCAGTGTGGGGTGGCACGGAGGCTGGGGGGGCTCTCTGTGGCCTCAGAGCCTACAGACTTAAATGATCTACGGACAGACAACTTGCTTCTTGTTAACCTTTCCAAAATGCACAGTATTTTGCCTTTTACTGGTGAATTTCAGAATAGCAAAAGGTACGTTTTGAACATTCTAATCTCATTTTTTAGCAAATTTCCAATCTTCTAATTTATGTTATATAAATATGAAAGTACTTATATAATCACATAGGGTAAGTACTGTTTTTGAGAAGTTTGGGAGGGAAATGTAACAGATTTCTCTTCCAATTCTAAAACAAGCATCTACAATCAGATCTCATTTTACTCACTGCCTCCTCACAATCACCTTAAAAGAAACTGCTAAGGTCTTCACCTAATCACTGAGCAAATGGGTATAACATTATTTATTATGAAATGATCCTGAAAGAACACCTAAATAGAAAAAATTTTTTTCAGTTTTAAAGATATAAAAACACTATGGCAATAATTAATCAAGAACAATACACATTCACAGAAGCCCAATGAAGTTAGAGAAACACATGATAAAAGAGAATACTGCAGCTAACTAGCTTCCCTGGGCCTCAGTGGCCTGTATGTGGAAAATGGAGAAAATGGAGCTACATGGCACGGGTCTGCTGAAAGGAGCTTCCAGTGTCACACAGGGAGAACACTGCCCCAAGAGCCTGGTGCTTGCCAGGGATCAAAATGCACCTGCAAACAGGTCCCAGTTGTGCAGAGCTGGCGATCAGCTCAGCCTTCAGGGAAGCTGGGGGCCTCGAAGAGGCTGAGAGACCCTTTCTCTCCAGCCAGAAGTAGCTTCTTTTATTCACCCCCATATGCCATGCAAATATGACCAAAAGGATAACAAACCTTACGGGCAACTTCCCACATTTCCCATGCTGGCTTTCATGCAGCCGAACGACTAGATGCCAGAGCTCTTGTTGCACGCCTGCCCTCTCCCAGCCGGTGCCGAACACTCCAGGCTCTCCCACCCCTACCTTCACCCCACCTTGTTAGGTGCTTCCTGAGCGTTTTCCCCAGTTGCTCTCCTGCCTAAAAACAGCTCTGCCCATAGACATCTGCTTGGCAACCCCCACCTACTTGAAGTTTTTGCACAAATCTCACCATCTCACTGTGGTCTACTCCGATGATCCTTTTTAGCTCTGAAAATTGCTCCCGACCCTACACTTAACCACCATACCCAACTCAACATTCCTCTTAGCAGAAAGTTACCTTCTAACATCCCATAGAATTTGGTTATTTATTGCCTGCCCCATCCGCCTGTCTCCTTAGTGTGTAAGCACCAGGACAGGGAATTTATTTTGCTCCCTGGGGGGCCCCAAGGACCTGGAACAGTGCTGGCACATGGTGGATAAATATATGCTACGAACTAAAAGGCTGAGAAGCATTACTGCAGGGTGATTATTCTCTTATAGGTCTGATCCCAGGCAGTCAGCTGAGAACAGACTCATTAGTATCTGTATCTGCACTGTCTACAACAATGCCTGCCACTGTGGCAACAGATAAATATTTCTGTCTTAATAACTTTCCCCCTCAGGCTATGTCTTTGATATTTGAATTAACTTCTTATACTATCCTCCAGTAGGTCCCCTGCACACAGTAGGCTGGAAGGACACAAGGAATACCTTACAAATGATCTGATCCATCGCCTTTCTCGTACAGATGAGAAAACTCAGGGTCAGGAGAACAGCTTGGCCCGGACATGTGCCACAAACACAGAACGAGACACAGAGCCCCGGCCCGGCCCTCGGGCCAGTTCTCCACTCTACCAGGAGATGCGGAATTTCTAAAGCACTTTCAGAGTCTCATATTCTTAGAAGTTAAAAGATCAGAAGACAAACATCATGTTGTGGCTAAAAACACAGGCTTTCCTATTTGGCCTCTATATGTTTGAGTCAACCCACTGGTGTTTTTCACTACTTGGGTCAAGTTACCAACCTTTCCTGACTTGTTTGTAACTGACTCACAATCCTTTCAAAATACATCCAATTTTTCATTATAAGAGGCAATTACAATATGGCCTGTAATTGCCCCCTGACGGTGTGATGCAGTAAATACTTCTGCACTTCCTCTGGTTTAACTTATATTTCCTGTAACATTAAAAACCTACCTCACAGAGAAAATTCTATTCCCAAAACTCCAAGTTGGAGGAAAACACAAAGAACTGCAAAAGTTCCTCAAGTCTGGTCTTACTACCAAAGGCCAAACCCTGAAATAAAACGATCAATTACGTGACACTTTAAAATGATTTTCCAAAACTTCTTTTGCTCCTGTGGAGGTGCTTCTGTTAGCTTTGATTCAGATGTGCAGTGAGTTTTTAGAAGGGCTGTTGCTCCCCTTCCCAACAACAGCATTCCCTGCCCAGAGGGGCTGAGGTACAGAGAAGGCACAGCCAGCCGGTCTCCAAACACCAATTAGAAGTTAGCAGAGTGGCTGAGCTCATGGCCTGGTTTTAAGTCCAAACTCCATCCCTTACTAAATGTGCCATTTTGGGCATGTTACTTTTCCTCCCTAAGCTATAGTTTCCCCATCCGTAAAATCAGAATAAAAACCTCAAAAGAGTAGCTGTGAGAAGTAAATGAGTTAAACTGGGAAGAGCTAAGAAGAGTGCCTGGTCCACGTAACTGCTCTATGAATCTTAGCTTTGGTATTATTGTTTCTCTTAATTCCTTCTAACCCTGCTTTACTTATAAGAATGCCACATCTAATGACTTATTCCTCATTGTTTTTGACTTGCTTAGAATTCTCACAATTTACCTTGGACATAATAATGAACCTAGGAAAAAGAGACCTGATACTCAATAGTCATTAAGGTTTGAAAAGGTAACTCATGTGCTAAGCTGTCTCTATCTTTATAAACCCAAAAAAAGAATTTTACAATGTCATTAAGATGACAAACCTTAACTTTCTGGTACTGCTGGTTCAGATTCTCCCCTGTGGAATTCTTCTCTCTAACCAGCCCATCCACATCTGTTTCCAACAGGTTGCCATTAACTTCATCCTCTTCTCCGATCGCCGACTTGCCGTCACCTTCTTGAAAATGAGTCCCATTCTGTTCCACGACCTGTTTCTGTGTTAGCCCTGCCCTTTCCGAGTCTTGGTCCACATTTGACAGCCAGTCCAAAAGGTTTTCTATTTTGGTTTTGCTCTCTTCCAGCTGTTTCACAGCTGCAACCTGGGTGGGGGGGGGGAGGGACAATGGGTATTCTGAATATGGCAAAGATATTATTAGCTTTAAGACATCCCCAATGTACATATTTATATCATTTAAAACTAGAGTGGGGATACTAAAAACTGACATACACTGAAAACAACACAGTAAAATTAAACCTTTAAGAAAGAGGAAGTTACTCTGAAGTTTCCACTGCTCTTAAAAATACATTCCAAAATTTTAACTGTAGTCATGACTGAATCCCCACACATTTCCCAAGTCTCAAAATCACACTTAAACTTTTTAAAAAAGTTAAGCAAAATGAAGAACAAAACAGAAACAGAGGCATGGAAACAGGCATAGAGAACTAACGGGGGAGGGGGGACCGGAGGACAGGCAGGTGAAGGGACTAGCCAGAGAGCATCTGTGTGAGACAGACAGCGAGATGATGGCCCAAGGGAAGGGGGGAGCAGGTGGAGGGGGGGGAAACTGGGACATCTGCAACGGTGTCAACAATAAAAATAAAGAAAAAAATTAAGCAGGGCCAACTCTTCAAACTTTGTGTGGTATTTGGTTCATTATAAACCTGGAAACCCAGAATCCTGGTTCCTGGTGCTGGTTGTTGCTTACCACTACCTGATGGCACTTAATGAATCCAGAGGCTGCTATACTAATTATTTCCAACAAAGCAACAGTGTACCACATAATCGAATAAGGACCTTTTCAGTTTCCTCCTTGATTGCTGTCTTCACAACTTTATCCAGTTCCTTTCTCGACTGTTCTGCCTTTAAATTAAGTTGTTCACACTTTGTCTTAGCTTCACTGAGCTTCTGTTCAATCAAAGCCTTGTCTTCTCGTGACAGCTTCTCGCCATTCTCTTTTAAGAAGTTCTCTGTGTTTTTCACTATTTCTGCCAATGCCTGTGCACTTCCTTGCATATCTTTCTGTAATTCCTTATAATAGAAAAAATAAGTCTTATGAAATTACTATTTAATTTTTCCAAAGTTGTAATTCTAAAAAAAGAGGTGAGCAAAAGAAGGATAATCCAGCACACACAGGCTGAAAAAGAACACTGATTATGTTCATTACAGTTGGTTTATTTAAATTACAATATTTAATATAATTAGAAATCTCAAACAGCATTAAAGAAAGGTATGAGATTTTCATCTTTGACAAAGAGACACGGTTTGCGAGACATTGAAAACAATGAAGTATTCAGTACATGATCTATATAAACTCACACATACCAGTTTTACACTAGGGGAGTGCATTTATAAAAGCTTTTAAATACATGACCATATTGTTTATTGTTTCTAAACATTCATTTTTAATATGTGCTCAGGATAAAAACAGGTAGTTCTGTAAGTTATAAGCTAAATTGTCCCTTAAAACAATGTCTCTACTAAAATAATCTCTTCCAAACACTGGAGCTCCGTGACATGTAGTGCCTGCCCCTGGTTTCAGGTGTCAGGAAGCTTAGCATTAAGAATTCTCCTCAGCAGGGACAGCTTCCTTCTGTCCAGATTTCTCTATGTATTTGTTCTTCTGTTCCTCTTTTACTTGGCATTTTAATTCCCTATATCGTACTTGGTTTAAGCTTTCAGATTATTTTCCCATGCTTTCCACGGGAAAGACTCCTCAAAGTTTTCTAAGTATTTGAACTGAAAGAGATACTTACTGAACCACACAACACTGTGACATTAACTGTACCCATCACTGAACACCAATATTGACCTAACTTTTATAATGACATGGTAATGGGTTTGTGGCCAATGAAGAAACTGAGGCTTAAAAAGATTCAATTACAAAGCTAACACGTGTCATGTCTGGGATTTGGATTTGGAGCCAGCTAATTACAATGAGAACATTCTTTTTTGTGACACCAAAATAAAGATACCTTTACCTGTCATTACTGTGTGTTCCCTCCATGGAAAGAGATGAACTGCAGGGACAGATGAAAGGAATAGGAAAGAGCTAAGAAAGAGAGAGAACCTCAGTTGATGGGCATTTCACCTGATTTGAAAGTGAGTGGACTGGCCTTAAATGTATCCAAGTCTGAATTCATCACATAAAGTATTTCCACTACCAAACCTTTGTATTTTGTCCACTCAATATCTCACCAAAAACCAGTCAAGAAAATTATCTGACTTGCTTGAAGTGGGAAAGGTAACTCTTGGTATAAAGTGCACACAGCTCAGGAGTCCTGAAGTATGCCCTGTCTTAGAAAAGCTAAAATGGCAGCTATCTGTCAATAATCCTAACCACTTTCCAAACAATAGTAATCAAACTTATCAACCCAGAACTAATCACGCAAAACTAAATTCTACCTCTTGCTTGGACTGGTACTTCTTTAGCTCAACAGTGCCGTCTCCAATCACAAAGGCTTCCTGGTGCCCAATCAGGCGGTTTTCAGTCTGGGTCAGGAGATCACAGATGCCCTGGAGTTTCTCTTTGTACTCCTGCTGACGCTCTGCCACGTTCTGGAGGGGAACAGAACCAAAGCATTTGTAATGGTGGTCATGCAGCCACGACTCTGATAGCGCCTTATTAGAATACATTTTTTGCAAGTTTCCTCTACAAAAGCTTTCTGAGTATGCTGTAAACATGATAGCAGTGGGGTACAAATGGAGCAAGGTGACACAGAAAGGAAGAGGCTGTCCCACAGACAAGGAAAAGTGATCGTGTTTGGGAGAAACTGCTCAACAGAATACTGGCCATGCACATGTGTCAGAGATGGAACTTCTGACCGACAGGAAGAAACATTCCATTTTCTTAAGCTCTTGAGACCTGCGACACACACAATTAATTCTGTAAAAGGATATCAAAACAGAAGTTAGTCATGGTTTGTCTGTTAATATATTTGATATGTGCATATAGGTTATCATGCTAGAGACAATGCCTGGATGCTTCAAGAAATAATAAAAAGACTGTTGCATGCACTATTTTTACTTAATCACTCCGTCTAATTCCATTCCCACCTTTTCATTACTCATTGCTATTGGATGCGGCACTCTAATATAATTCATTAAATCTTTCTAAGAGATTTATTTCCTAAGTCAATTGCTTGCATCTTTCATTTTCCTATTACACACACTCACACTAGTTACTCATCTTACAGCCACAGACTGTGTTTACCAGGACCCTAACATATGCTGGGCAAGGTGCTGAATGTTTTATATTCATTATTTTATCAGTGCTCACAACACTACCAGGTAAGCACTGTTACTATTTCCAACTGGTCGGTGATATAACTGTGGTCATGTGACTTGCTCTGGGTCCCACAATGAGTGTGTGGTGCCACTGCGGTGTGGAAGGAGGTGGTCTGGCTCCAGAGCCCTGCTGTCTCATGCCGCCCTCCAGGGGGGGACACCCTTAACCTTCTTTACATGTATGCTCAGCAACCTCCCCCCTGAAATTTCTGAGTGTATCTACATACTCTACTCCTAGAAAAAAAGGGAAGACTATCACCTGAAAACAGTAGTTTCAAGGGAATCATAAAAATTAAAATCAATGAATTATAGCCATTATCACAAGAAGTTATAGTGCTGTATATTGTAGAATCTGTGCATTATACCCTATTAATTGCCTATCCAGAAAAATCTCTCCCATCATGGCATAATCCTCGGGTATCTGTATTACAGATTTCACAGTGAAGAACTACAAAACGAAGAATCCACAAAGAAGGGCAAACCTTCTGATCATCCAGGTCTTGTTCTAGCTGTAACTGAGTTTCTAAATGTTCCACCTGGGCAGTTACTGATTCCTGCACATCAAGAAAGCACTTCTGAGTTTTATTTAAGAGCAGCAGCAGTTGTTTGCTCTGGCTGGGAGACAGGTCTTGCGCGTGCTCAGAAATGAAGAACTGCACATCGAAGGCGGTCGTCTCCAGCTGCGTTTTAGTGTGGCCAAGGTCTTTCAGCACACCCTGCGGACAAAGCAGTACCAGTTACTGACAGGGAGTGAAGCCGTAACAGACAGTCTATATCAACAATAACATTTATTTTAAAAATATGCTTCTTGTATCAAACTCAAGGTTTTATTGATATTTTTATTTAGTCAAAAACCATCTAGTAAAAATGGTAATGATGAAATCACTTAAATGCTGTGGTAATTAGTACTATATATAAAAAGATAAACCCTCTGAGAATATTTTAACCTTGCCCACCACATCATACTTCAAATGAAACTCTCACAAAAGGATTCAACTTATGTAAATTTAGCACACTAAAGGGTAACATTAAAATATTGCTTGCCAATATTTATAGTACCCATGCTATTGTGGTGGAACATAAATGAGACTATGGGGAATTTGAAACATAAATTACGTGGGCCAGAATTTCAGTTTTCTGGCTTCCAAGTCAAGAGCCTAACCATCATTCATGGGGCATGCTGTTCAGATTAAGAACTAACTTGTGGGATGGGGGAAGGCATGACAAAAAAGACTAATACCAACACAAAAATACTCCTTACACTGTGATGTATTCAAGTGATTAATACATATATATTATATAAATCAATACATAAATACAAATCTCAGCATGTCAGTGGCCGTAAGAGTCACAGGAGGCCACTGGGACAGCAACAGAATGATCACCAGTTGAGACTGTTTCATACTTGTGTCAACCGTAAACAAGTACTTTGGAGAGACAAAGAGAGGAGACAGCACTGTAGAGCTCTAGCAAAGTCGTGCATTTTTGTAAACATTTATTATATTAAATCCACAGGTTTTTAAACGTGCTTTCTGTCTCACTCTTTTGATACTTGCCTTAAGAAACTCCAAACTCTGCCTTACGTGCTGGGTACCTTGAACATTCCCAGCCTCCATATCCTTCACAGACTTGCTCTTCTCTGCTATCCAATGTGAGAACGACTTCAGTCTGTGCAGAAATTCTTCCTGGGAAACAGCTAGTTTTGACTAGAAAACAAAATTGGGTTCATTTCTCTCTGTCTTTAAAATTCAAATGCCTATAAATGACAGTTCTGCCTTAAAGGCTTAACACTCGGAAAACAAAATACTTCAGCTTATGATTAAATTTTTAAACAATCAAATTTTCTTCAACACTCAACTCTGACTCTGTGTGGAACGTGCCAACACCTACCATTTCACAGTCAATTGCGAGCACGATGTGCCCCATTCTCTCTGAAGACGCTTCGCTGAGGGAAGAGAAGGCATTCTGCAAACTTCGGTGGCTTCTACTCAGTTCCTCAAGATGGTCTCTAGGAAAGTTACTGGGAAGAGACTTTAAAAACTCTTCTGCCAACTTCATGTCTTTTCTTAAGATAACAGCAATTGGAGCCAATCCCAACTCGAATGCCTGCAAAATATATATATATATATATATATATATATATATATATATATATATATATATATTTGCATTTACCATTTTTATTTTGCTATGCAGAAACATACATTAACCATGGGCTGTGTAATGCCAGTAGACAGTGTAATGGAGAATATAGCTTTTTGAAGCAAATTATAACTAAACACTAAATAGCTTAATTACAGTGGAAATTCTGTACAGTTTAAGACTTGGCTCTGAACTAGGCTGTAAATATGGACCATATTTAGGAATAAAACAGTTTTTCAAGTAAAAGAAGAAAAATCAATTTAATATATATGAAAGAAAAAAACAATAGGAACTCAACAGGTTTTCAAGAGTGAAATTTTGTCATATTGTAAACTAACGAAGTATATATTTTCTTCCCAAAATAATCACAATTTACATATGTAGGACTTGACAGGAATCTTTGGGAAGCTTTCCAGATTGAATGCAGACCACAGTGGACAAGGAAGAAACCACATTAATATGTTAAAAATCAGTGCTACCTTATAATGAATTAAATCAGATACACAAAGCAGGATTGTAAGCATTAAGTATTTCCAGAGGATGAGAGAGTCACCACTGTTTGTGGGTTAAGAGTAGTAAAATCAGATGAAACAAGTACAAGATTCAAGTGTTTACTGAATAAATTCGGTTACTGGCACATCTAATCTGGAATAAACCTGACACACCAGACCTAGGCACCTTCTAGCATTTTAGGGTAAACATTTATTTGTAAACCAAAGATCTGTCACTTAAGAAACTGAAATTTTGTTTAGACTTTAATACATATATATATATACAAATATATAAAACATAAAATCCAAAATATAAAGTATAAAAATATATATTTATATGGATACATAATTTCCATATCCCAGACAGAACCATTTAGTGACAAACAAACACAAATATAACAAATACTCAAAACACAAATGTAAAAAGCTTTGCTTATTTTTCCACCTTAACTGAGTGGACTATTACCCATAACAGGCAAATACTCTTATCAATTCTTACCTCTAACTGTTTAAGTTGGTTCTTCAAAACTTCTAGACTGTTATCCAGAGACTCTGGAGTGTTTAAGGGAGACTTCATATCTTGAAGCAAAGCCAAATACTCGTGCATTTTTGATGTGTGCTGTAAACACTGCTGTAACTCCTTGGAAAACTAAACACAATTTGGACATTTTAACTCAATAGCCTCTATGCAGGTTTTTAGAGCAAATAAAATATATGGGATGGTTCCCAAATGTTTCATGCAGCTACTTCCACATGAAATACAAAGTCAACTTACTTGTTCCATTGAGCTCTCCCCAGAAGTCATTTCTTCTGACCCTGAAATACATTCCAAATGGTCCGGGAAATCATTGCATTTCTCCTCCAGCTTCTTGTCTCTTGGTAAGGCTGATGCTCGTACAGTCAAGTTTTCTGGTCCACTTTCTTCTGTATTTTGTGAATTAAGAGAACCATGGTGTTCTTCTTTGCTTTTAAGATCATCAAGAAGATGTGGGTTTCCATCCACCACCTCAGAAGTAGGAGATGATTTTTGAGTCAAGTTTCCAAACTGTCCTGCTTTGTCTGAACAGCCATCAGAAAGCGGCTTACAGAAAATTTTTTCAGGTTGCTGTGGAACTACATTAGATGTAATGCCTATTTTCTCCAGATCATATCCCATCTGAGTTAATTCCTTTGTCAATTCAAATGCTCCTGTAATATTTTGGGTATATTGATTTTGCTTAAGTACATCAAGGAGAAGCTCAGACTTAAGATCTGCAATAGAGAATGGATCATCTCTACTCCCTGGTCTTATTTCTGGTGGGTTGTTTGGGGAAATTCCAGGAGAGTCACTGATCTTCGAGTCATCTCTGGGCACACAAGATGCTTCCTTTACCACCTGTGATGTGCTCATCCTTTTAGTTAAGCTTTGAATTAAAATTTTAGTGTCTGCACAGGCTGCAGGTTCTCCGACCTCTTGAGAATTCATATGACCTTCTTTCAATCTACTCTTTAAGATGTGCTTTACATCCTCAACAAATATCTGAGACAGCTCAGGAATGTGAACCTCCTTTTCTTGAAATCCTGGAGACAAGGTTTGTTCCTTTTGTGGCTGTTGCTCAATTATTTTTTTTTCAGTGTTCATTTCTAAAAATGAGTAGTTAGTGCTTAAAGTGTTACTGGAGTTATCACTTCGTATTCCTCTTGTGCTGAGGCCCGATGGCACAGAATCAGTATTTTCCCCAAGGCATTCCACATTCCTCAGAGGTGAGACCGAAAGTGTGCTTTCAGTTCTCACTGATGTGAGCTGAGGGATTTCTGTTCCTCCTTCTGAGACATCTTCTCTAGTACAAAGGTCATTCTGCTGAACTGTCTCATTTACAGGAGAGTCTTCCTGAGTGAAGGCTGCCTTCCGTTTTGCATTATCAATTCCTAATTCTAAGTGGTCTTTCATGGGAGGGGAAGCTATTAGATTGCAGCTTGGGATTTCTGCATTTGACTTCAGTCCATCTTTTGCTTTTACATTTTTTGCACAATGCTTTAAATAAGTAAACAGATCAGGCTCTTCCCCTGGTCTGTCAGTGAGTGAATCTGTCTCAGTACTTGTATTCCCTTCAGGCAATATGTCTGAAGTAACATCACTGATCACTTTGGAAACTGATGAGTCAAATATTTCTGCAAGATTCTCAAAGTGAACAGGACTTTGACTACCAACTGTTTTTAGATTCTTTGCTTCATCTTTAACAGCTACAGTTGCTTTTCTAAGGCTTCCTTTAGGATTATGTTCTTCACTGTTTGTGATTTGTGGAAATGGAAACTTACTACTAACTAAATTCAGATTCTCCCTCATCCTTTCACTAGGCAAAAGTTTGAGATGTTCATTATCTTCTACTGGACCTTCTATGGGTTCTTCTCCTGAGCACATTTTATGAACTGATGTTTTATCTTCTGTTAGTATATTGTTTTTGTCATTTCTCTTTTCAACTACATCTCTTCCATTTCCTTGCTGATCTTTATCAGTTACAGAGTCCACAGATGACAAATGGCCTCCCTCAGCAGGTTTTCCTGTTAAATCAGGCTCAGAACAAACGGTTTCATCAGAAGTTGAACTGATATAAGTATTATGTAAAACATCCACAGGGCCAAAGGTGTCTTCTGACTCAGTGATAGGCAGCGATATATCCTTTAGGGCCATCTCAGGATTCAACAGATTTTCTTTTTTTTTCCCAACAACCTCAGTTGTGTATTCTGGAAGATTGTCTCTTTCAGCAACTAAGCTACTTTTAGTGCTTGATCCTAGCTGTAAAATATTTACAATTTGCTGTTTTTCTAAAGAATTATAATTGTGCTTTTGGTGCAGGAGAATCATTGTATTAGTACTTTGATTTTCAAGGCTATTTTCCTTTTCATTTGTGGTGGTAACACACAACTGCATCTCTATATCTTCAGCCTCATCTTGGCACACGGGCTTTTCCTTCTCATCTCCCCCTTCTTCTTCTTCCTGTTCTTCATCATCATCATCCTGATCATTACTGTCACATATGTAATCCCCATAACTGTCTTCATTTTGCATAGAATCTAAATGATCGGTATCAGAATTAAATTCTTCTCCAGTTATATATTCTTCTCCTCTCCCTCTCCAACAGCCAGTGTCATCGAATTTTAAAGAGGCACTGAAGCTCTCTTTCCCTCCTACAGTTTCAGAATCAGTCAATAAGTCAGACTCATCACTTTCTGGGTTATCTGCACTTTCCCTGTCTGACACAGTTTCCAGCAACTGTTCATTGACCTTGTATGAGTCAAGTGAATTTAAATGTATTCTTTCATCAGCATCTAATTCAGCTTTCTCACTACCTATGAGACAATCCTGAAAAGACTGTGATTTCCTCCTCACTCTTAAGCTCTCCACTAGCCCCGCCTGAGTCACCATGGAATTTTCATTCTCTTTTGGAACATCATAGAAAATACTGCCAGGAGAAGCAGCCCCATCGTTTTCCTCTTGCAGTGTGTCACAGTCCTCAGGTTGCAGACCATCACAATCACCACTTTCAAGGAGCAAAGAATCATGGTCATCATCTTCAAACAAGGGAGTATCATAAAAATCATCGTCACTATCACTGTCTGTTTCCGTGTCCCTCTGCTGGTCATCCAGGAGTGACGTTTCATAGTCACCAGCACTGATGGCCTCTTCACACAGTGGTGTGCCACAAACATAGGATGCGTCGGTACTATCTACATCGCCCCTCGGTGCTATGGCCCAGGAGTGCTCTTCCACTTTGGACTCATTTTGCGTGTTTTTAGGTTTCTGTTGAGAAGCAGCATGTATTTGCTCACCTTCTCCACAAGTATCTGAAATGTATTTACCATTGTGATATTGTACCTGAGGATCACTATAACCAATATTTAAAGGTTTCTGTCCACAGTGCTCCTCCTTCAAACTGATGTTAATAGCTGCAATTCCTAGAAACTGGCCTTGAAGATTTTCTCCCACTCTTGGTCCCAATAAAGTGGTTTGCTCATTGGATGGCAATGTAGAGTCTTCACATTTATTTCCATCACTCTCTGTGGTGTGTAAATTATTAAAGCTTCCCTGATCGTTCCTCGATTTATCATGACTTAACAAGGCACTCAGCCTTGGGGAATAGTCAAAGATAGCAGAGTCCTTGTTCATATTATCTTCAATCTCTGTTTCTTTCAAGTCACACATTCTACTAGTTTTTGACTTTTCAACGGAAGTTGTTATCAAATTACTTGCAAGGTTATCAATGTTTTTAGGATGACTACATTCATCTACATGTTCCTTTGTTTCAACTTGACTTTGATTTTCACAGTTTTTAGGTGTGTTTCCAGAGCCTCGTCTAAGTCTGCTAACTTTGGCAAGTTCAGACTGTGTAAAATATGATCCAGAATTGGGAAGATACACACTGGATGGATTCTCAACTGTATGTTCTGTTACTATTGCATTTGCCCGGTTTTCTGACTGGTCACACTCACTGAGGACATTATTTCCCATTTCATTAAACCCTTCATCTAAGGCATGCTTTCTATTTTCAGGCATTTCTTTATGTTTAGGTTCTCTGCAATAACATTGCTCAAAACTATCTGGTGAAGTTATACTGTTATCCTTCTCTTTACTTGGGGCATTATTCAGAAACACACCAGGGAGCCTTAGGATATCAGTGCATTCTTTCATGGACGTATCTTCATCAAAGTCTGCACTGCAGCCTTCCAGGAGCATAGCAACAGCCTCGTTCAAGTCCCCATCATACAGCAAAAGCCTCTGCCCTGTGTTCACATCCATATAGCTGTTTATCATCAAATAAGACAGGAATAATTTTTTAGTCTGTTCTGAGCTCTGTGCTGCCACGGGCTCTTCTCCATCACAAGTATCCTCTTCTTGTCCATAATTGTGGGCTGTAGATGGCTGGAATTTACAAAAAGAGAGCCATCTCTTGGCGTTCTTACAAGCTTCTACATCTCCCAAATCTGGCATTTTATCAGGCAGTATTATACTTTTTAAAATCAATGTTGTGTTATTATCTATAATTCCTAGCTGCTGTGCAACATCTAAATCAATGACTTGAGAGGTTTCTGGAATATACAGAGCAGCTATTTTCTGCCTACCATTCAGGATTTTGTATGCCAGTTCATTTGTAATCAACTTCTGCTGCAGGGAAGAAGATGTGGGAAATATTTCACCAGAGTGAGGCCAAATGAGTCCAACGTAGCCTCGCTGAGCCTCTAGCACCAAGAGAGCACTGCTCGAGGTTATTAAATCACACTGGACTGCTTCATCGACAGTTAAACGTTTAGCAGGGTTAGAGTGGATGATTCCACCTGTCTGAACCTGATAGGTTAGAATACTGTTGGCAGTATCCCTATCAATCACCCCTTCTGCCACAGCTTCTTCAATAGTCATTCTTTGACCAGAGCTGCAGTTGACCAGACCTCCAGAAAGAAGCTGTGCACCTAATAACCTGAACATAGTTTCACGGTCTATGAGACCTTCATGAGCTGCTCTTAAAATGCTAATGTTTCTCCCACATTTTAATGTTATTCTGCCTCCTTCTTGTGGTCTCACAGGTAGGAGCCGCATCCCAGTGCTTTCCTGTAAAATACTTCTTTCCATAATATCTATCAAAGATACCCTCTCAGAGGTACATGGATCAATAAGATCTCTGCATGTATTTTGCCTTTCCAAGACTTTAGAAAATAATGCTGAGGAAACCAAGTTCTGTTGGAAAGCCTTCTGCAGGGTCAACTGTTCTCCTGTGGCTGGAATGACTAGCAAGCCTGTGGAAAGCTGTATCTCCAGGACTCTCACGGCCATGGACTCTGATATCACGCCTTGAGCCAGAGCATCCAGCACTGGAACTGTGATGGAAGACACAGTAGAAATAATCTCTTTGGCTTGATAAAGTTCTTGGAGTTGGCATACAACTTGTTCATCAATGAGGCCATGACTTTCGGCACCTTTGAGGTCAAAGCATTTTCTTAATTCTGGTGAAATTAGACCAGAAATCATTAGCTGTGTCTCAAGCAACCTTATTCCTGTGTCATAGTCAATAAGGCCTCTTAAAACTGCCTGAAAGACTGAAAGGACTTCTCCAGTTGTCTGATCAATGGTGCCTGCAATCACTTTATCCAGCTGAAAGGGAAATACAAAATTCTCAGGTCAGTTTGGGATTCAAGGGTGGCCAGAGTTTCATGAAACTTAGTGTGCATTTTTTTAAAAAAATAAGTAACGCACTTCAACATAAAAATCCTCTACTTACCAAGGCGTGGCAATGCTGTGAATGTTAGGCAGCTCAAATGCACAAGTGATCTATGTCAGTGATCTATTCAACAGCACAGGATATGATAAAAGCTTTGAAAACAACATGCATCTGTGAATTGAAAACTTAATATTGTGTACATTAACAAGGTTAGTGAAGACACAACAGAGTAAATGATGACAGTGAGAGAATAGAACACATACCCAGAAGGCAAACCATGCTTTCTGCAATTGGGTGAGATTAGTCTACTAACACGACAGAGAGTGTGTCAAACCCCATGCTACTGATGTTTACAGCATACAGACTTCTTCCCAGTCGGAACGTAATGAACTGGAAAAATTTTCACAAAATCCCGAGTGAGGCAAATAGTGTGTAAAGTACTCCAGGGAGTAAGGGAATCGAATGCAGAAATGAGTTTTTGAACATTGAATATTGTGAATCTGTATTATCAAGTTTTAAAAACTTAAGAAGAGGCCAAATTTTAAGTGATTTCTGTTATATTTTAAGAAGATGCTAGGGCATCCTCATTATAACATATAGCCCTGTATTACTCAAATAAATTCCATGATATTTCTGATATTTCGGGAAAAAAAAAAAACCCACAACACTCCAATGTCACTGGTAGAGGTGACTCCCAGGCTATTTCACAAGTATAACATCACATTTATACCATAAAAATACCTAATTAGCAGTAGGAGAATGGCTATTAAAGAGAAGAGTTAGAAAAATGAATGTTTCTTTTTTTTATCATGCAAGGCAGAGATTAAGATGTCACAAAAACTGATGACAGCAAGTGTAATATTGCATTTAATAAACAACACTGAAATCTCCAAATAAGTCAACTCCATGTTTTTTTTCCATGTACACAATTCAGGGTCATTTCCTTACCACTGACATACACTTCTACCATCATGCAATAAAACTAAGAATCTTGAAATAGCTTCATGTTTTAATAACATTACCTTCTCCTCTACCTTTACATCTCCCACAGTTTCTGATTCTTGAAGTTGTTTCAGAGATTCACTAAATAAATTATAACTTTCTTGAAGAGCTTTTACTTGTTTTTCCAGTTCATTTCTTTCTTCATCTGTCATTCTAAAATAATCAGAAAGTATCAAATGAGGAGCACAAGTCTTCAGGTGATAAAGATGATGTATTAGGCTCAATGATTTTATAAAGTACTTTTTAAAACAGGTACACAATCATATAATAAAATATAACTTTTTAATATTACCTCAGATAACTCAGATTTTCAAATGGCTGCATATGAAAATTAAGGATGGCCCTAAACACATCCAGGAATCCTTCTCTCATCTAAAAAATGGGACTGAAGGAAAGGGTGTGAACTACTACATCAGCACCTCTCTGTCATATACAAGATTCTGAAATACCAATAGCTGTTGTGTGATAGAGGGAAAGCTGGCATTGTTAGTCCCAACAAGGAAAAGGAACAATTAAGTACCATTATTACTCAAGGTGAAACTTGTTTAAGATGAAGCATAGAGAAGGAATTAACCAATTCTCTAAGGTACAATAAAAAATCATTCTGGAATATTGGACAGTCAAAACGGGTTTAAGGGTATATTCCTTCCCTGCCTGAGGTATTAGCTGAAATATATGAAGTGCCTTGTTGCGGAAAGTAAGACCAATGTATGAGAGGCCAGTTTTTCCATTAAGACTCCAGGAACATACTCAGACATTTTTTCCTGCACCCCTTATTCTAACCTTCTCTCCCGGAGTGAGTGACGGGGCCGTACAGAAACACCCTGGCCTGTATTGCCGGGGAAGGCCTGCCCGTGCCGCCGTGCCGGTCTCACTGCTTCTGCATGGGACAGCCTACCATGTTGCCTTTTTTCTCCACCCTATTTTCTTCCACTATCTCCTTATCTTTTTCCCTTTTCCTCTCTCATCTCCTTTTCTTCTGCCTTAATCCAAACATCCACGAGATGAAATGACAGAGTACTGGAGTAGAAGCCACAAGACCTGAATGATTTGACTTTACAAGAGTCATTTCAGGTCTCAGGAAATAGTTACACATATTTAATAAAATGAAGGTGATATTTTCCAAAAAACAAATCTCAGACAGTGCTACTTGTATTAAGACTTGGCTTGGAATCTTCACAACTCACTAGCTATTAATCCTTAACCTCTTAAGCCTGTTTTCTTATCAGTAATATATGGGGAAAATAAGTACTTGTCAGGCTTCAGGTAAACACGGACCAAAGTAACTAAAAATGACAATTACTCAAATTGCTGAATTTATAATCTTACATTATTACATTACTAAGTAAATTTGTGATTGAATTTCATTTTTAAAAATCTCAAATAAAATGTACCATCTTCTATTTTCCTGAGCATTTTTAAGACCACTTTCCTACCCTGAATAAAAGGTTAGTGAAAACCAACATACTTGTCTCCATGTTTAGCCAAAAATAGCTGCATAGTCTGAAGTGCCTCAGATAACTGTTCCTTCTTGGTTAATATTTCTTCACTGGAAATCTGCAAAGCATGAAAAACACACTCAAATTCCGCCCTCATAGAAACTAACACAACAGTAATTTCTAAAAACAAATCAAGTTTTCAAGACCCAAATGATGTCTATTTTCCGGGTGACTCAAGTCAGTAACTCATCACTTATCATCAATCTAGGGGCCTGGATAAAAGGAGTACTTTATGTTTAGAATGAGTAATTAAGGAAAGCCTTACTATTTCATGAGGAAATAGTAATGCAGCATTATATGGTTCTCGCTTTTGTCCCAGCTCAGCCATGAATCAAGGTCGCCTTAACAGCCCAGGTGGCCACAGATCCAGCACTGGCCCAGTGTCATCCTTGTGCCCCCAAATTACATGATTGAAGAACACTACTCCCAATGAGTATGTTACATCGCCCAAGTTCCTGAATACAATGCTACTTTTGAAAAAATTATGGTGACGGTTTAATCTGTATGTCTGCAGATCAAGATTAAATCATTTTTATTGCTAAGACTCAGTTGCAAATGTTGCTCATGATGGTCAGGGGAATAAAATTGATCTGTTTGAGGATAGTGACACTTTCTCCTAATTCCTCAGTATATCACTTCTGAATACCTAATATCAGAAACTGCCATTTTTTTAAATGAGCAGAAATGAGAGTTAATGATGGGCCAATGAAAATGTGTCTTTCCCCCTGATGTATTCTATTATGAGTCAACTAAGGTCTATTTTTTAATAGTTACAGGTAATAATGAGGCCATAATGATATTTCGAAAGACATTTATTCTTCACATCAAATTGCCGTAAATTCCTTTATCAGTGTTATTAGAGATTTATAATTTAGGCCAAGATCTTCACTAAAAAAGTATCTACTTTTATGTCCAGTAGGTCTAAAACAGATGTGGTAAAATTTTGAAGAATTTAAAACCACAGAATGAGAAAATACCAATGGCTTATAATCCACATTTCTCAAATGCAACTTGTTCTCCCAAGATGTCCTTGCTAAGTTGTTGTCCCTAGTTTAGTTCTTTTCCTATTTGATGGGGCAGGGGGTGGGGAGGAAAGAAGATATTTTAAACTAAATGTATGCATAACATTACTTTGACAGTTTTACACCAAATGTAATTGCTTTCAAGCTTCTTACTTCTTCTACACTTTATGAAGTATGGTATGCAAGACTGTGAGCTAATATAGCTTTATTTCAACTGAATAATTCAAGTATATGGCCAGGTCTGTAAACTCCAGGGGCGGGGTAGCTAAAGAATTACATCTGCCTCATACCACAGGGAAAATTAGACAAGACACTGAAGTTCCCCCCTACACAATGATGTCAGCAATGTTAATTGATGACAAGTGAGTATTGATGCAGAGCTAGAAAGGGAAGCTAATGATAGCTAACAATAGCCCCTAAAATTTCCAAAGGTCAGGCAGGGGCTGAGGGGCAGTGTAGGAAAAGTTTTCAAGAAAAAGGCTGTGTAACTTAGTGGACATTTTAAAGAACACAGCTGCAATCCCAGTACTATCACCAGCAGCCGCTGCAATACTGGAATTCAGGCCAATGACCTTGGAGCTTCAAGTGGAGGCAGTCCAACAGACAGCGTGGAACACTAACATCTCAGGAGCTGGAGCCATCCAGCTAATGCCAGGCAGTTGGGGTACAGGAAATAGCTCGCAGAGCTAAAGAATCCACCTAAATAAGGGAAAGAATCTAGAATTTCCAGTCACTGACTGGAGAACACTTCTTCGTAAAACAGAAGAGGTCCAAAAAAGTACAACTAAATTCAATCCTCAAAAATGTTTATCTGAGTTTGTATTTTTGTAATTGTTGTAAGCTCGGTTTACATTTGTGAAGAAACAGACTGCATACATGTGTGAGACGGAGTGCATGGGTTTTTCTCTGGGCACAAAGCAGGATGCCTCTGCTCTTCGCAATGCTCATCACAATAATTGAGAAGCAGAGCTAACTATTACTGTGCTGGAAAAACAGCACAGCATATTAGTTCACAAATCATAAGACTAATACACACGTCAGGCTTTGAAATCAGAAAACACCTTCTTCTGCCTGCCAAATACTGTGATTCATTGGGCAAGTGACTCAACCTCTCTGATCCACATTACAACTGCCTATAAAAATGGAGGGGGGATTAAGGTAAAGAATTAAACATTTTTTAGATGGACTGTACATATCATCTTATAAATTCTACCTACTATTATTATTATCATTATTATTAATCAGGCCCTCAGTGAATACCTTTTGCTTAGAGAAGGGAGATTTTCCAGACTTCTCTCCATCTCTCAATGTCTTGCTGATATTTGATACCCATTTCTGTAATTCTTTGGCTTTTTCAACATATTCTTTCTTTTCTTCTTCCAGTGATTTCTGACAGATGTGAGTAGTAAAAAAAAGATACATTCCAGTAAATGACTGAGCCTGACATCTCCAAAGAAAACAAGAGTGTAAAAAAGGTTTTTCTCACACACAGGTTACTGAGTTATTTTATTCATTCATTTAACCGTGTTTACCATGTCCCTTCATGGGTGTACTCCCAAAATGTTTATGGTAACAAAGGAAGCTGTGACAAACATTTTTTAACCTCCCAGCTGGTCTATCAGTATGACAAATTTTGAAAACACACACACACAAAACCTTGATTTTATTAATGAATCACTAGAAAATATCTGTATTGCTGCCTTTGCATTAGCATCACAAACACAATGGTCTTGACAGAACAGCACTGTATAAGACCACGGAAAGCTGAAAGAACAGAGAATGCATGCACACTTTTGAAAAATACATAGAATGAAGAAAAATCTTTATCCCTCCTTCCAACACACGATCCATTCTTCACAAAGTCTAATTAGAAATGGAAGACTAGTAAACATTTAATATGTAAAGAACGTGACTATATACACAAAACTAAAAACTTTTTCATTTTTTAAGGCAGTCTAAAACACTAACCTCAGGGTTACTGGGAAAGAATGTACATCTCTCTGTGATTCCATGGTGCTCTTCAAAATGCTCTTTCAGTGAGTGTAAGGGACCATTTAATAAAGGGAAACCCTAGGATCTATTCAGTGATGGAGAGTTCTGAAGAAAGGATGCTCTCTCTGAACTTACTGGAGTTCATCAAGTTTATGCTGTATTCTCAGTAAAATACCTTTAGTTTGGTGTGAGCAAGATTGAAAGAACTAAGTTCAAAGCTAAATGAAACCATTCTTAAGAGCAGTAAATCTTTTGGGTTTTTTTTTTCAATTTAAAAACCATTCTCTCTTCTGAACAGTCAGCTATTTCCAGCCCTCCAGGAGTAAATACTGCTTTGAGTATGTTGCACAATTACTAGACTGTTCATGTAGCTGACACCACCCTGGACAGATCTGCCCTGGACAGATCACATGAACTGGACAGTATCTCTCCTGTGCAAAGCTACTCAACATGTCCTATGATGAAGAATAATAGAGGCTAGAAATTCCTGTTGTCAAGGGTTCAGACACTTCTAAGAGTTTAAGTCCTGTGTGGAAATCAAAATCTGCATTTTCTAAGGCCTCTTTATAGGTCAACTTTCTTTTTGTTTGGGGACATATTATATTTCTGACATATGACTTTTGATCTTTGAGGTTAGTCGCAAGGAAGACATCTATGATACTGACCTGGAGAGCCTCTTCTATGGACAACCGGGAGTGAACCTGTGGCTCTATCAAGCCCCCCGTCAAGTATTGAAACTCCAGACATCTGATTCCCATTTCCTTACTTATGATATTCGCATTCACAGCTTCCACCACTGACATTGCTTTGTTCTTGACAGGATGGTTAATCCCTGTCATTACCAATTCACACTGTCGCAGCTGCTGAGCAAACCCTTCATCAACCAGGCCTCTGTGCAAAGCTTCAGCCACCCGGTACCTTTTGCCAGTAATAGGATCAATTATGCCCCCTGTGCTGACTTGGGCTTCAAGGCATCTGAGGGCAGTAATCCGATCAATCAAATTTCTACGGGAGGCCTTTAGGACAGAGATCCTTTCTCCACTAGAAGTGAGCCAATACCCCGCAATAGGACTATGCAAATCCTTCTTGGGAACTAACTTGCTCAGAAAAGCATCGGCAACTTCTGTGAGCGTGATGACACCTTCCTGATACTTTTTCAGCAAGGCTTTGTCAACTGTTCCCTGCTCCACAGCCTCATCAATGTTGAACTGTAATCCTGTTTTAGTGTCAGTCAGCATGTGAGAAGGATGCCCATAGGATTCAAAAAACGTGGCTTCCCTCCATTGGTATTGCTGCCCTGAGAGCTCAAGATAAGTACTTTTTTCGATGAGGTTTCTCTGGAAAGCCTCATAGGCAGTCAGTTCTGCTCCTGTCTTAGTATCTACCACAGAAATCCTGTGAGTTTTGGATACATTGAGATTGGAAATGTTCCTCTCCCCAAACGGAAATAGAAAGCACTGGCAATTGACATCGAACACGCACATTCGCAGTAATTCTGAATAATACAGAGCTTGCTTGTTATTGGGGTTAGGAAAAACTCTCGTGTTGCTCGATGGCTCATGTAAAAACTGCAGGATGGCATTATTTAACAAGCCTTGCTGCAGAGCAATTTCTGGTGGAATGCGAATGCCTCTCACAGGGTCAATGATGCCCCCGCTGGCAATCTGGGCCTCCAAGATATGTTTACCTTTTTGTCTGTCAAGCACTCTATTTTCCATGGCTTGAAACACTGACAATGTCTTAGAATTATATGAATATCCCAAGGCTGCCTTCTCTGCCTCAAGGAGCCTAATTTTGAACTCAGGGTCAACCACTCCTTTAAGGATTGCATCTTCAACAGAGTATGTCTGACCTGAAATGGGATCAATCATAAAACCTGTTGCAGCCTGAGCTTCTAAAAAAGCTAAAGCCATCATTTTGTCTATTAGGATTTTCTTGGCTGCTGAGGCAAATGAAATCTTTTCCTTTGTGGATTCCAGATAAAGCCCTGCAATTGAGGTGGCTTTTGTCAAAAACTTGCTAAGAGTTTTCTGAACTTCTTCAACAGTCTTAAGGCCATGTCGCAGCTGCTCAATTGTTTTCATGTCCAGAAGCTTAGCTTCAACCAACTGCCTGGCAGTCACAGGGTGTCGGAGCCCTTGGAATGTAAACTCATCATCCCTAACCAAGCATGCATGGTCGCCATCAGAGTTCTGGGAGGTCTCCAGTTCTAAGCCTTTCTTAAGAAACTCTCTCTTGAGTCCAAACATCCATTCTTCAGCACTGGAAAATGGGTTCTTGTCTTGTTTTAATGTTGTGACTTCTGTGTGCATATCATACTGCTTGTTCTTAGCTATCTGTAACAGGAATTTATAAGGCATTAAAAGTCATCTAAAAAATATTATGTCACTTTACCCATTCTTAATCCAAATATAATTCCTAGAACGACAAAGATAAGATAAGTATAGACACGAAAAATTTCAAACCAAAAGAGAGTTCAGGAACAAGTAATATATTTTGAGAGTCTGAAGCTTACTTCAGATGACAATTAAGGCATTGAAATAGTAGGAAAGTGAAGGGAGTAAGAAAAAAACAAACTCACAGACAACAGTATGGGGACTATGAGAGGGAAAGGGGGAGAGAGGACATGGAAGAGGGTAAAGGGGGAACACATGGTGATGGATGGAAACCCGACTTGGGGCGGTGAACACACGATACAACACACAGATGATGTGTTACAGAACTGAACACCTGGAACCTATAATTTTATTAACCAATGTCACCCCAATAAATGCAGTTTTAAAAAGACTGAGACAAAATGTATCCAGAGAACATGTCAGAAATTAAAGTTAACTGCTTGGTTTTCTAGTTTTCCAGTTTTTTAATGGGCATATTTTTCAGAACATAATCCCATAGATATAACAGTATAACCATTATATCTGTGTGTTTAATCTCACTTAAAAATTAAAGATCGATAATTTGTACTAAAGATGCAAGTAAATCACTAGAAAATGACAGTATTATTTTTCTGTCAGAATGACAAAGAGCCAATCACAGATAACATTATTTTTTTTTAATTGGTCCCCCAGAGAAAGGAAACAGGAGAGGAAACTTAACATAGGTAGCTGATAGGGTCTTACAATCCAGATTGTACCTCTAATGGTGCCAAAAGCTTCACCAGGTCCACTTCACATTTGTCATCTTTGTATCTAACAGGTTGTCTGGAATTGTACAGAGGCTGGTCTCTTATCTTCTCAATTTCTGAGAGTCTTGAACTAGGGTTTTTCTCATCAAAAGTTATTTGCAATTCGGTGCTTGTTTGAGAAAAATACTCAGAGTAACACTGCTGGCTTTTCTCTCTCTCCAGTGGAGCACCTGCTGGCCAGCACTGGACGTCCTTTTGTTCCACAACCCGATGTTGCCACTTTTCTTCCGACTGCTGTGGTTCTTGAGTCCATCTTAACAGAGGAGATCTGGCCATTGGGTGAGACTGTCCTGTGCTCCTAGAGGAGAGGTCCCCAGACTGTTGACACTCCTTCACTGAGACCTCAAAATCTGGTTTGAAGGTACAGTCTTTGATCGGGCTCTTTTTCTGGATTTCACACTGGAGCAAAACTAATTGATGTTCGTGTTCCTTTATCTGTTGATTCATTTTTTGCTTCAGGTTTTCAACTTCACGTTTCTGGGCTACCAGCTCCTCTTCGAGTTTCCGACATTTTTGGTAGTTATTTGCTTCCACATTTCGCCCTTGTTGGATTTGCTCACGATATTGTTGAAGCTGTCTTTCAAGTTCTCTAATAGTTGTTTCACAGAGCTTAGCATTCTCTTGGGCTCTGCAGTTTTCCCTCTGAAGAGACACAAAGTCAAGTTTGATGCATGAAATGTCATTTTCAGTGATGACTTTGGAATCCATTAATTTTTCCATCTTTTTCCGAAACTCCTCTGCTGAACGCTTGAATTTATCAGATTCTTCCTGAAATAGGACCATCTTTTTGTGGGTCATCTGTTCCTCTATGGTCTTTAAGTACAGCTCATCTTGTACCTTTTTCAACTTGTTATTTAACTCTTCTACCTGAGCTTGCTGTAGTTGTACTTTCTGCTCCCCCAGTCGCTTTTCCTGTTTGGAAGCATTCAGCTCAGCATTCAGATTTCTAACCTCTTTCTCAGTATTCCGTATGATAATGTTCTGCTGGTCACACTTTTGTTTAAACTCACTCACTAAGCTTTGACTTTTGGCCAGGTCTTCTTCCAGGCATTTGATTCTTTTATGGAAATCCTGCTCTGTTTTCGTCTGTTTGTGCAAATGTTCATTTGTGTTGCGTAGCTGTTCTTTAAAACCACTTGCCTGAATTTTCAGTGCTTCACACCTTTGCTGGATCGCTTGTTTCTCTAAAACTACATTGGCTGATTCTGCCTGAATTCTCTGCATCACTAACTTTGTTTCATTATTTTGCCTACTAAGCTCATCTACTTTCTGTTTTAACATTTCTGCACACTTATTACTTTTTGCCAACTCTTCCTTAAGCTTTTGGATTTTATCATTATTTTCTTTTTCAGCTTTAATATTCTGAAGCAACTGTGCATGACTTTTCTCAAACTGTTCTTTTAGATGATCTGATTTTCTCTGGCAGAATTGTAATCTTTCATTAGAGAATCCCTTTTCATCCCGAAAAGAATTCACTTGTGAATTTAAGTGCAGAATATCCCTCTCAGTTATCGCGTGCGTCCTGGTGATCCTGTCTACTTCTTTTTGCAGTTTCCCTTTTTCCTGCTGAAGAGATTCTAATTCTAACTCATAGTTGTGCTTTATTTTCTTCAGATCACTGGCTTCTTGCATGACTTCTTCAGTTTTATCTGCAGTTTGGTTCAACTGCCGCCCCAGTTCTCTAAGCTGCTGAGAATACCCTTCCTCTACCTGATCCTTCCTTTCCAACTCTAACTTAAGGCACTTTAGTGTATTATTGGTCTCATCTAGTTTTTCTTTGAGCAAGCGAGCCTTTTCTTCCGATGAGGTCTTTTCAAGCTGGAGGGCACTGAGCTCATACTTGAGTTCCCTCATGTCCTTCTCGGCCTTTCTGTTGGCGCTTACCAGCTCCTGTACCTGCTGCTTGAGCTCTTCTGCCTTCTGTTTGTCCTGCTCTCTCTCGGGGACAGCACATGTGGGCAGCGTACTCTCCCTGCATGAATACTGAATCTCAGTTATTTTCCTCCTGGCTTCCAACTCAATTTTCTGCTTTTCTTTCAGCTGTTGCTCTGCGATCTGCTTTTGAGAAGTCAGATCTTTTTCCATCTGCTTTATCCGCTTCAAGAGTTCTTCCTCATTGTCTCTCTTTCTTCTTAATTCTTCCATTAACTTATTCTTTTGTTGCTCCAAGTCACTGAGACTCGAATCTTTCCTTTTTAGGTGATCTTCCAGGGTTCTTCTTGTAAAGGTGTTTTCCTCTAACTGGCTCCGGAATTTGCAGAGGTTTTCCTCCACGGCCACCCTCCTGGTCTCAGCCTCGGCTGTGAGCCTCCTCACGCGTTCTAGCTCACGCTCCGCAGCCTCCTTCTCCCGCACAATGCTCTCCAGCTCCCTGCGGTACTGCTTCGCTTCACTCTCAGCTCTGATCTTCTGCAGAGCAATGTCCTGCACATTTCTCTGCTGCCTTCTCAGTTCGTTTTCCGCAGCCTCCTTGACCTTCGGAAGTTCTTCCTCTACCTGGGACTTTTCTTTCTTTAGTTCAGCTACCATTTTCTCCAGTTCACTTATCTTTCCTGTAAGTTTGCTATTCTCAATCATTGTCACCTTCTGGCGCTGCAGCAGATCTGAATATGCCCCATGGTCAGAGGTCTCCTTACACCTTTTCATCTACAAGAGATGTTTAAAAGTGTCAAACCTGCTTCTCCAATTTGTCTTTAAAAATCTGAAGCCAGGCCCAGAAAAGTACTTGCAAAAACAAGTGAACCGAAATGCAGAACAAGCACTACCACCGTCACCACCACCACCACCACCACCACCACCACCACCTTCTTTGGAAAGGAAGCTTCGGACAGTCAGCAAAAGGAGAAGGTAAAAACACTTCATAATGGGTTTTCTAAACCAAAGAATCTCTCAGATTCTTTTTTTATCTCTCAGAAATAATTCAGTTGTAAAAATTAGCTAGCTCAGGATTTTACAACAAGAAGGGACCTTCTAAAACATATTGCTAATAGATGAGAAAACGGAGGTACAGGGAGGTTAGATAATTTTGAAAGCTTTCTCACCAGTGCTCTTTCTGCTCTCGCCCAAAACTTAGTCCAAGATGAGAAGAACATACAACATATAGAAACTGAATGACATTAAAGAATTTAATTCGCCATATTTAGTCCAATGGAAATTAAAATGATGTTCGCATCCCTCTGTTTTATGATTAAAGAAACAAAAACAGAACTTTGGGACTGAGAGCCAAATCAGGAAATAATACTTAACATGAGGTAGAAGAAAAATTATACAAAAACTTGTCATTCCTAAAATCAAATTTCTAACTTGTTCATATTGCTATATTAAGACAACCATAATCAGAGTTGCTAATGCAAAGGCAGCTATAGCCCCTGGTGGCTTTGGAAAAGATGTGCTTCACATACTCACAGATTTTGGTGCTCTTGATAAAGACATGCCTCATATAAATCCACCGTGACATGTACCTTTAGATACTCCATAAACACAAAGATATTCATTAAATATCAATGCTTTTAAAAATCTACTTAGGGATTTAGCATCGATGGATAAAATAAAATTTAAGAAGATTTTTTTTACCTTGTTCATGATAAAATCAATACCAGCTGGGAGGAGCACACTTGGCATTGACTACAGAACTACACGGTCAGAGCTCGTTTCCAATTACTATTTAGTTTCTCTTTATTAATACCATAAAGTTGTTAGTTCCATATCATCAGCCCCAAACCATAACTATAAACAGTTTAAACAAACATCAAGAAATTATTTTAGAACATATATTTTAAATTGAGAAGCTTTGCTAAATTTTGATAATTTAGTTTACATTATAGACCATGTATCTTATTTTGCTTCCTCAAATTTCTTGGACCTCCATAATTTTGACAAACATTTCAGTTGTTTCCTTGCTTACCTAAATGTGGTTTAAAATAAGAATTCATTTTAAATGGATCTTACCACAGTCTGCAATACTTAGTGCTAGTGCTCTGTTTTGTTATCAGGGCCAACTTCTAGTGACACTTAAGCATTTTCTCGGTTTAAATGTTAAAATACCAATATTTTTGATGAGTTTATTTCTAATAGGGTCTTTCTCAATTTTTTATCAACCTCCCCTTAAAAGTTAGCTATGGCTAAGAAGATTTGAGCTTATTTTTTCTTAGCTATGTTTTAGGGTTTAAAAAATTAAAAATTCTCTCAAGAAAAAAATGTTATTGAACCCTCAGCATCTTAAAGTAATTTTATTGATTGTTAATAAGCTCACATTGTCTAGATACTCTAAACTTTTTGGCAAATACTAGAAAAGTTACTATAAATAATTTAGTCCTATTGCTGATTGGCTTTCTTATAGATTTCAAGCTTATTCATATAAAAATAAATACCTCAGGTTTTTTCTAACTTTTCTCCAAGGAGATATACTGTCCTTTAATCTCAGCAATTGATATTTAATATACTTTCCTCTCAACACAGATTTAAAAAAATCTCTTTATCTGCCTAAAATCCATTATAGGTACTCTACTTTCATTTCTAATTTGATATTATCTTCTGAAATAAACTTACATCCCTCTTCGATTTCATGTTCATTGTGGAAAATTCTACTCTCAGAAGACCAAGGTTTCTCGTGTGGATCTTTACAGACTCAGTAGCAGAAACACTACTCTTTGGAGTCTAAAAGCTGAGTGAGCTACAGGTCTTTTATAAGATACACCTTTTACATTCCGCTGATATAACTCTTAAGTGATGAATTTTTATTCAGGAATTTTTTTAAATATATTTTACATTATAGTATTTGTATTGTCTATATTATTTTAACTTTCAATTCACTGTAATTCCTTTATGCTTCAAAGGATGACGAGCATAATTTGTATATATTCAGGCTTTGTGGAAATATGATTTGGTTCTGTAATTAGTATCCTCCCTCATAAGATAAACATGAGCAAAGTGACTCGTATGTGTGCAATAAAAGTTATATATTATAAAACAAAGAAAAGGACTTAAATTACTTAAGTTTAACAGCTAAAAATACAATTTAAAAGATCTGTATGCCATTTATATGGAACTGTATCTATTGAAAAGTCAAAATATAAAAATTAGGGATTTTTTTCATAAATGAGAGGTGCATGCCAACTATTTGGATGGTCACAGATATTCTGGCTCTCCTTTCTAAGCACAAAAGAAGCTAGTTATACAGACTTGCAATTAGCTATGTTAGCAAGTTAGCTGCAGAAAATTATTAATACTGAACAGACTAAAATAGTTTATGAAAGCAGTCTCATTTTTAGAAACTAAGAAAGTAACATCTATGTAACATTTACTACTGTTTTAGTTTGCTCATTATATGCACAGTTATACTAAGTATAATCACCTTCAAAATTTCAACAACAGACTAATTTAGAATGACTAATGCCAGACGATTTAATAATTTCAGCATTCAGCTACTATTTTTGTCTGTTCTGAGGTTAGGAATAGAAAGCATACCAAGATGATAAAGCAGGGTATAATCCCTTCAAAAGTATATACAATAGCCTGTATGACAAGATATTTTCATAAATAACTCTTTACTCTAATTGTGAATATATACTTTAAAATGCAAAATGCCTCAAAATTAGATTGGTAAACAGTCTTCTTATTACATACCATACCTTTTTGGTTAAAAATAAAAATAAAAACAAAAACAACTTCACAATTCTTAAAATGTACTATTGTTTTGTACAAACACCTATACTTCTAAATGAATGCCTTTTATGTTTTAAATCTGTTTTATGTTTGAAGGTATAAATTAATTATACTATGTAAAACAGATGCATTTACACAGTATTTCTGTAGACATAGCAGTAGTCACTATACTTCAAAGAAGTATGCTTCTCAACTGTGAGAAAACAGAAAAATTCTGCCAGTGTCACCATTTCATGATTTAAGTAGAACCATTTAAGACATCAAATGGTTCATGTTAGATTCCTACAGTGAAAATAAAAACATTATTTTTCTACTTGAGAAAACCTTAATACAAGTCAAAAAACCCTAAGCGTCTACTTGTTTCCATTTTAATTTTATAATTAAATACTTACTTACATATCAGCTATTAACCATGTAAATTTAACGTAAAACCTTTTCTGTTTTTCCAAACCACGCTACATACTTCCTTTTTAGTTAGTCGTTCATAGTTAAGGGTTACCTCTTCCTCTTCTAGCCTCTTCAGTGAGTCACCAGCAAATTTAACGTACTGCGTCATGAGGGTGACCAGAGCAGTGTATCGTGTCCGTAGGTCCATGAACTGCAAGTAAGGAAAAAATGATACAAACATAACCTCCAAGTGCCCAAATGAGTAATGGTAAGTAATAATATAATATTAACTAGGTCTTATGACAGCAAAGTACGCACTCCCCAATAACGGTGACGGGCATGAGCTTATTACTGTTGCGCAAGCCATTCTAAATGGCAATTCTCTTCTAAATTTAATCAGGAAGTATATTTATTATAATCTCCAATTAATAATTAAACCTGACTAAAGATTTTCAAAGGGTTTTTTGTGGTTGTTCAATTACAGTTGTCCCCATTTTCCCCCCATTAATCTCCCCTTCGAAGGGTTTTTTTAAAAAATTGAGTAAAATGTAGTTTCTAGGTAGGAAATTTCTTCTTGGAATGATGAACAGTTTTTGGTGATGGTCAGTGGCCAAGGCTGCACAACACTGAATGAACTGAATGCCACTGAACTATACAGCTTAAAATGGTTAAAATGGTAAATTTACCATTTTATTTTACAATGCAAATATCTGAATTTTTAAGGCATTGTTTGTTTTACACTCCCTCCCTTGTCTATGGAACTTTTATTACCTCTTGAATAATGAGATCGGCGGAGCTCTGCATTCTTCGGCGCTTCACTGGGGATTTTTGCTGGGAGTCTACCATGGCCCGGTAGGTCATTGTCTGTAATTCGTAGTCCTGGATAAAGGAGTCAATGAGATTAAATTAACTGAAGCAAAGTGCTAAAGCATCCAAACTGGAAGTTAGTTTCAGTGAATAACTTTCAAAGAAAATATTACAAAACAACAGTTTTTAGTTTTTGTGACTCTATCACAAATCCATCCAACCCTGAGATGTTTAAAAGGTGGCAATAAAATCAGAAACGTTTAGGGCAGTTAGGGAAGTTCCTAAGTCTCTTTATAAGCTCGTGGAAACATTTAGTACAACCTGCTAGTTACGCTCTTTCCTCTAGTCAGGCAAGTGCACTGTCCATCTGGATGGCTAAAGCTGATTTATTATTAAAGACTTCAAAGAGCATGAGAACTCAGAAAGTTAGAGGTCCTTTCAGGGAATACTATAGCATTGTTAGAGAGAAAGAGAGGGAAAGAGAGAGCAATCAAGGGCAAAGGAAGGAGGGAGGAAGCGCAAAATGAAATGAATTTCAGAGCTCGGTCTTTCTTACGTGGTTGGAGGGCTATGGGTGCCTGAGAGGTAAGACAGAGAAAATGAACAACCAGGGGCTGTTGTGTGACTCAGATTTCAAAGAAGTATTAGACAGGTATCCAAAAGTTTCAAATAAAAGATCCTCTCTTTTCATTGTAATCCTCAACTGAGGATATGTTTTAGGATTTCAGAGAGAGAGCGGAAGGGAGAGAGAATGAGAAACATCAATGAGAGAGAGAAACATCAGTCAGTTGCCTCCCATATGCATCCCAACCAGGATCAAACCTGCAACCTTTTGGTGTATGAAACGATGCTCCAATCCACTAAGCAAACTGGCCAGGGCTCTCTGTTTTCACTTTTTAACACAGAGTAAAATGACTTGAACAGGCTTTAAAAAGCTCGATAGAGAATCACAAACCCAAATATTAAATGTGAGGCAGGTAACTGGATCCTCTCACCTTCACTGTAGTTGAGTACTGTTCTGCGTGTTTTTGACACTCATCCATTTTGCTCTGTTTCATTTCTATTTCTGACACCAGCATCTATAAGGACACACAATTTAAAAGAAAAATGACAAGGAATTTCTGTGCTGTTGAACTACTTAAAATGCTCAGGAACTAAGAAATATCCACATCATTTAACAGTATAGTTCCTTAGCCCTTAGCACATAACATGCAACGTGCCTTATGGATAAATCACAAACTTCTAGAATAGCCCATATAAGTGACCCACCCACATGGAGCTTCCGAAGCAGAAACTGTAAAACTTCATAGGCATCTTCCAGAAGTAGACTTGTAGTCCTAGGCCCCTACCTATTCCTGATCAAAACAGCTAGAAATTACTGGCCCATCAAGACGGAAAAAAAATTTCAAAGCATTGAACTTTTTGTCAAATATGGCTGTTTAATGTTCTACCACTAACCATTTTCATTTACTCAGGATCCCACAAAACTATTGTGACCAGCTCAGTGTCAAAAGAGATTTTCATACCTGCGATTAAATGAGCGTTAGGAATTTGAAAATTGCCCCAATGTGTTACTTTCTTATTCCTCGTGCTTTCAAATATGATTTCCAAGAAATCAAAGTAGGTGACATTAAGGATCCAAAAAATCAGAAATTATTTTTTAAAATTGTATGTTTATTCTTAATGTTTAAACTTCAGTCACCTTCAAAGTACTCTTCATTTGATACAATACACCTACCAAAATGTTTTTTCCACTACTCAAAAGTTTTTGAACAGTCATTGATTTTGATATCTTTTAGTGCTTCTGACATTTTTTGTTTTAGCTCTTCCACATGGGCAAAACGTTTCCCTTTGAGAACTTTTTTCATCAGGGAAACAAAAAAATATTTGTTTTGGGGCAAGATCTGGTGAATAGGGAGGATGGGGCACAGGGGTTGTGCTGTTTTTGGTAAAAAACTGCTGGACACGCAGAGCAGCATGGGCAGGTGCGCTTGTAAATTACCCACCATGAAACAGGTGAACAGGTTGAGTCATCAAAAAAAATTCAGAGGTGGAACACAGCCTCTCACAACAATACCAGCTGGTACACTGATACAGATGGGTTCCTAGAACGCTCACCTAGCAGCAGAAACCTGCACTACAAAAGGCCCGCCCTCCAGAAGATAATTCTGGATTTTGGGGGGACCCCTTCGTATGTAAGTTTGGATTGCAGGATTTTAATATTTATGATTTATTTCCCACCTTCTTCTAAATAGCTTCTGGCTATTTCTTTTAACAAGAGTAAGGAAGATAAGGGTCATTAATGAGCAAATGCAGATATAACCTTAGTACAAGGAATTGTGTTCAGATACCTTTTGTTGATTTAGCTGGGTGGCTAGGGTTTTACTATTTTCAGGCTGATTTTCCTGAATCTTTCTCTGAGTAATTTCAACTTGTTGGATCCAGTCATCTAAAGAGTGATAGGTATCTCTGTAGTACTTCAGTGATTTGCCAATGCCTTCTAAATCCCGTAACCTGAGAAAATCAAAACAGAGTAGTTATAGTTTCTAATAGTACCCATTAGGAAGGTGAAAGGTATAGAATAGAGAAGGGAGAGTCAAAATAACTGTTCTCCAATGCACTAAGCACAACTACAGGGGTATGGGTAAAAAATTCAAGGTTACAGCACCCTGAGGAACATCTCCAGGGGCATTCCATGGGGCTCAGGTTGAATTTAAATATTTTATTCCTGGTGTTGTACAACTTATACTGTTTTGGGAGTCATGGACCTGATTATCCTAGGGACAAGCCCAAGAGACTAAAGCTAAAAAGCAGGAAAAGTAGAAACTTAACCATAATTACTATCAATCGACATGTCTTAACTAACCAAAGCTTGCATCAAATGGCAGTTTGCTTTTGAAATAATGACATGATAGTCCATTGAGTGGTTCAGCATGAACTGACAGAGTACTTTCCAGGAGTTGTGATTAAATATTTCAGTTTCTATGAGTTAAAATCACTATACTAAACCTATATATCACATATTTTAGAGATGAAATATGTTATATTTGAATATAATTTTACTTCTCAAGAATGGTACTACATCACAAAAGGATTTTATCTGCATTAATAGAAACATGAAATGAATGAGAAAAGACACTATTCCATTTTTTTTTTAGATGAGCCCTAAACCATCAAATTTCCTTTCACTTTTTAATTTCACTCACTGGGAAAATGATTTCAACGTTCTGTGTCTTTAATAAAAAATGAGCATCTCTGAGGTCTGGTATAGAGTGCTCCGGCCCCGCAAAACACGTGATCCATGTTCCTACTGAGTCCTGTAAGTTGGTGATAATTTTGAATGACTTAAATATTGTGTTCAAATATCATAAGCTGGTAATAAGTAGAGAACGATATTGTTTTCCCCTTTAGATAGAAAGCAAGTAGATTAATTACACAAATGCCAGAGTATATCAATAATTTTAATAACATAGTTAAAAATATTTATTTTGAAGTTAAATGTCTTACTTAAGTCCACCATGTAACAAAGAAATATGATTAAAGATCTTGAAATTATCACAATTAACTGTATTTGGAAATTAACTATGTAAATGAAATTACCTACATATAAAAGTTTAGAAAGAAACAGCCTAAGTTTAGGTTTGACCTAGACTCCAAGGACAGACATTAAATCTGGGCCAAAACGGAACCAAAAGGACACGAACCTGTTGTCAATCTGAGCATGAACGTGTTGCCACCTCTCAGCTAACTGATCTGCTTTTTCTTTGTGCCAGTCAAAATCGAGGTCCCGTTCTTTGTAGGTCTTAAACATTTCATCACTGATGGCTTTCGCCTTCTGCAGCTCATCCTCTAAGTCATGGAACACCTCTCTCTTTTCATCTACTTCAGCTCTCCATTGCTAAAGACATTAATTGGTGAAAATTATAAAAATGTGTCAACCACTCACTGGGTAAACACATTACTTACCTAACTGTACAATTTATTTACAAGTGACTGACATAAAGTCAGAGAAAGGAAACATTATCTTTCATATACAAAAATAATGTATGAGGTCGAACCTTACTAAATTGCCAATATGTGACTGTACTTTGATCTAAAAAAAAACCCTGACAATTTAATAAAATTCAGTCTAATGGAATTTACATATCAATACTCCATAAGCAAGTCAGCTACCTCTATAAACGTCTTTTTCATTGATTATTTCTAAAATATCTATTAATCTCGTTGTTTAAAACTGAGTGGATGCACTAAAAAATCACTGAGATAACTTTTCACAATTGTTTTTGCAACAGTTTTACTCGACTCTTTATGCAAATCTATAGACACAGATGAGTACAGTCACCAGTCTTCTTCCTTCCCTGGGTTAATTCCTCTACTTGCCTCTTTGAGCTCTTCAAATAATGCCTCTTTCAGAAAGAGAATATTACCCATGATTTAATTTTTAATTTTAGCTCCTCTTGATTATAAAAAACTACAGTCAAGAAGATTCAAATTTTTGCCCTGGCCGGTGTAGCTCACTGGATTGAGTGAACCAAAGGGTCGCCGAACCAAAGGGTTGGTGGTTCGATTCCCAGTCAGGGCACATGCCTGGGTTGCAAGCCAGGTCCCCAGTGGGGGCCATGTGAAAGGCAACCACCCATTGATGTTTCTCTAACTCTCTTTCTCCTTCCCTTACCCTCTCTCTAAAAATAAATAAAATTTTAAAAAAAAAAGAAGATTCAAATGTTCAATGAGAACTTGCTTCAAATTAAAAATGCCTGAACATATTTATTTGCAGTTAGCTATGGTATTATAGAGATATGCAATGGAATGACTGTAAACATAATCAAGCTAAAATAATTAATGGTTGATTTTTTGCAGATCTAAATGCTAGAGAAATTAATTTTAGAGTAAGATCTTGTAAAACAGCCAAAATCAAGACATACCTTTAAAGTACTTATGAGATTCTCGATATTATTCTTGTCTGCTATAACTGCTTCTTCTTCACACAGTTTAGTTTCATAAAGTTTTACAAGGGCTTCTGCAGCTTGAGTGTTTTTTAATACCAAATTAACAGTTTTCAACCTAATAAGGAGAATTAAACAGTCTTCTAAGGGTAAATGTTTATTTTTCATTAAGGCAGTCCTGAAGCACCATTATAATACATAATATAGCGTGTTCTTCATCTTGAATCACTGACATATTAACTACAAGACTAATATTCATCTGACTCTTCTCTTAATAGACAGCATGGGCTCAACCCATGCCCTGACCCATAAGCAGTGTTTAACCAGAGGTTCCAAGATAAGATGGTCTTCTTCAAGCCTTGTTCAGACCACGCGTGAGGGGAAAAGCCTACAGGCTGCAACAGCTAAGCTACCAAAATACAGGCTCAATGTGAGAAGATCATACATTATTTCCTGATCTCTGTGGCACATGCTCTTTCAATGTGAAGAAGCACTAGAAATCCATAGAAATAATTAATATACTGTCATGAGAAATAAAAGTAGATATTTATGTTCACAAAAATGAATATTTTTAAATGTACAGCTTATACATAAAAACAGGACAGTTGTATGAAGCACTTTTATATTAAGACGGTGGGTACATACTTGTCTATGTAAGTGGAAGACATAGAATAGATTTGGTTCATGTTCTGAATAACCACACTGAGCTCAGACCGTAAGGTGGGAACCGATGTAGAGGCTGCGGCTTGACTGAAAAATTCCTCACATTTATTTGTGATTGTTCCCAAATCATCTTTGAGACGCTCCAGCTCCTTCTTTAGTTTCTATAAAACAGAGAACAAACATCGGTATTAAGTTTCCACTCCAGACTGAGCATCATTCTTTAAACAGTTTTAAAATTCACATTTTACATTATGATCATTACCTTAAAATTCTACATATTCTTTACTCTTTCTTTATGTGAGAAACCTAAGTCACAGCATTCAAGTTTTATCATCAGTAATTCCTTTACTGCCCACCTTTTCAGGCCCAAGCATCTACCTAGTGTTTTTGCACGTAGCAGATGATCAACAAATGTCTAATGACTTCCACTGGGAGAAGCCCTGACTGCCTCCACCAAAGTGGGCAGGAGGGCGTACATTCCTCTGTTTATGTGAGTCAGAGGTAGAGGTGAATTACAGAATCCAAGTTTATAATATGCAATAAATATATAATCAGACCTCACAAAGTGGCTGCTGGGTAAAGTGGAGCATGTAAGAAGTCACAGGATTTGACAGTCATTAAGATAGTAATTTATCTTAAGTCAAATTTTGTCCCAATACATTTATAAATCTCACCTCCTGCTCTGTGATTCTGAACACACTTTCGTGCAAATCGTCTCTTTCCAGTGGAGTTCGGATCTGTCTAATCAACCGATCTTCACAGTTCTCTAACCGGAGTCTAATGTTTCTCACTTCAGAGATGTAGAGATTGTACACTGACTCCTCTTGTTCCTCTGTGAAAACAAAGATGATGTTCAGAAAGTACCTTGTTTTCTATCTTTTGCATGCTCTTGCTTATGTTTTAATGTGGCCGTTTTACTATGTCTTGGGACACAGTGAGTCAAAGGAACGTTACCAGCTATCATCGCAAACCCAACCTAAGGATATAAACCCTAAAATAGTGACTTTACAATTTACAAAGATTTAATGAAATTCCCCTAATGCCATGTGGAGTACTCGTTTCTAATTTATCACATCCAAGGGAAGTGATATATTGATCTTTTATGTTCACAAAAAATGTCAATCATGTTAGTTGCAGATTATAAAAATTAAATTAAAATCCTTCAAAATAAAAGATAGATTAAAATGCGTTAGTGTTTTCAATTTTTAAAAACAGAGTATTACTAGTACAGCTTTTGGCTCTAAGTAACTTCAAAAGACTATGGAATAAAATTTATATTTAACAAAAGTTAACTACACAAAATTTTTTCCATTAACCTCTGCATAAAATCCAAGTTTGGCTATGGAAAAACCCTGCACCTTCCTCTCACTTTTACTTTGAATCTAGAAGTGCTCTAAAAAAGAATGTCATTATTTTTTTAAAATATTTTATTTATTTATATTTAGAAAGAGGGGAAGGGAGGGAGAAAGAAAGGGACAGATGCATCAAGGTGTGGTTGCCTTTTTTTTTTTAAGATTTTATTTATTTATCTTTAGAGGGGAAGGGAAGGAGAGAGGGAGAGAAATATCAGTATATGGTTGCCTCTCGTGCATCCCCTGCTAGGAACTGGCCTGCAACCCAGGCATGTGCCCTGACTGGGAATCGAACCGCGATACTCTGGATCGCAGGCCCTCGCTCAATCCACTGAGCTACGCCAGCCAGGGCCTTATTTATTGATTTTTGAGATAGAGAGAAACATCAATATGTTGTTTCACTTATTTATACATTCATTGGTTGATCCTTATATATATCCTGACCAGGGATTGAACCTGCAACCTTGGCATATTGGGATGGTGCTCTAACCAACTAAGCTATCCCACCAGGGCACTTTCAATGAATTTTTTATTTTAATTTATTTTATTCTTTCTTTCTTTACTTTTTAAAAGATTTTATTTATTTATCTTTAGAGGGGAAGGGAAGGAGAGAGGGAGAGAAATATCAGTGTATGGTTGCCTCTCGTGCATCCCCTGCTAGGAACTGGCCTGCAACCCAGGCATGTGCCCTGACAGGAATCAAACCAAATCCTTTGGTTCTCAGGCCCACGCTCAATCCACTGAGCTACACCAGCCAGGGCTGTGGTTGCCTTTTGAGTGCCCCCTACTGGGGATCTGGCCCACAATCCCTGGGTTGTGCATGTGCCCTGACTGGGAATCAAACTGATGACCCTTTGGTTCACAGGCTGGCATTCGATCAGCTGAGCCACACCAGACAGGGCAGAATATCATTCTTTAAAATCCAAGATTGATACTTAGAAAAATAATTAAGCCCTGGCAGAGTAGCTCAGTTGTAGAGAGTGTTGGCTAGATACCTCAAGGTTGCGGGTTCTATCCTCGGTTAGGGCACATAGAAGAGTCAACCAATGAATGCATAAATCAGTGGAACAACAAAATCAATCTTTCTCTCTTCTCTCTCTCAAATCCATAAATAAAAAAAGAAAAACAACTGAATCTTTCTGAAATGAAAAGATCATCATTCTGAACATGATATTGCGAAACAGTGAAAATGTTGAAAAGTAGATGCATTAAGATTTCATCATCTGTCATACTATTTGGTTGGCATCTTTTAATTAATTCATCATTTAGGAATAAGTTAATCCCTTTTTGCATGTTCTCAACTTAAGCATGCTGTCAACAGTCCAACAATTGTGTCTGCCCATCACAGGCTGAGGGGTGTAACACACCTAAGACTGAAATTCCCACTCAGGGCAGAAAATGGCCTGTACTAAACACACATGGGAGGTGGAAATAAACAAGGATTCCCATACTTTACCTCTTTCTGCAGATTTAAGAAGTTCTTGATAATACTGCTTACACACATTAACCTCCTTTTCCAGCTGTGTTATATCTGAGCCTGAAAATACTTGGGATTCCTGGCTATCTTCCAGAAAATCTTCAAAACGAGACTGCAGATTACTCAGAACTTGCTGGTGCTCACCAGGTAACATTGTCTTTATCTAAAAAAGAACAATGACCATACAATTCAGTGACTATAGTCCTCAGAGCTAAATTTAGATGGGACCGATCTCAAATTAGGGTCTCATGGTATAGGCCTGTTTATATTAATCATCATCAATAGAATAATCATTTGAAATTAATTTTCCTCTTCACTAACAACTTCAGGTTCTGAAAGGCAAAGAAAACCAAGACTACAAAATTCTGTAAATGAAGTTAAACTGTACTCATCTCTTGAAGTCCAAACACTATATCCTGTCTCCCTACCAAAATATACTAAGCACTAAACGAAATGTGAGATCTCCCAGATTTTCCCAATTCTTCAAAAGCTCCCTGTATATAATAGGTATATAACAACTAGCCATTGAGTGAATGAACGTTGGCTCTGCTGAGCTCTATCCTAGTCTATAGTAAAAACAAAATCTACTCTTCATAACAAGGTGCCCCACGTTTTTGGACAGATTAGGTTGATGACAGATTTACACTTACAGAAGCCACATTGCTAGCCCGGATTTTATCAATTTCATCGATGAGATAATGCCAGGATACTACACTCTTCATGTTTATATGCGTCTCATGCCAAAGAGTTAGGACATTCTGGTACTGTTGCTCAATTCTGAAATATGCGAAAGAAAACACAGATTATGCTTTTTCACTCCCTCTGGAAACATACTCCAATTTTTTTCTTGTGTGTGTGAGAAATATCCCATGTTTACTAGTTTTAGATCCCTCCAATCCTGTGAGCCCAGATGAGGTGCTGGTTATTTCTTTAACCTTCAGAGAGCTTCCAAGACCAGGGGTCAGTTTTTAGCCGCTGCATACGAACCTGTTTGCAAAGTCAACTGCTTCTTTGTTTGGGGGAGGGACTGTGAAGCACATGGATGGCACCATCGCCTCATTCCCAGTAGGGCTAATGACCTTCCATTTAGCACGATGAGAGTTGTTCGCCAAAACGCATTCATCATCTTTGTATATGGTTATCTGGTTTAAAATGAAGAATAGCCAAATGAAATCACTGTTGACTAATCTTTTTTTCATACCCAAACTTGGGTTTATTTGTGTGTGTACATGTTTTTGTTTTTGTTTTTTGAGGTGGAAAACTTTACCGGTGAGCAATATGACCTCATTTTTTAAATATATGCAAAATGCCAGAAACTGGTCTGTTTCTAGGAGTCGTAAGTACCTCAATTTGTCTGTAGTCACAGATGGCTTTGATTGGAATAGATGTTTTGAGCAGACAGTCCGGATTCCTAGGCTTCAGCTGAATTATGGTTTTTGCTCTCCCCATCAGGCTGGCCACTGTGCTTTTATACTGCAGAAGTTCTTCTTTCTCTTCCTAAGTAATAAATGAGATGGACTTTAAATGGTAGAAGATTTGTATTCTGTGCTGTTTTAGGGCTTTCCACAAATGGAACCATGAGAAAAGCCTACCCTGACCCCATGATCTAAACTTTCGATCCCTCCCTACCCCCTCTTGTATCTCTCTGCCCTTGTTTTGTTGTGTTTTTCCTCTTCAGCATACACATATGTTTTACTTATTTCCATGCTTATTGTCTACTCCCCCTCTACCATGCAAGCCCCATGAGGGAAGGGATTCTTGTCTGTCTTGTTCACCCTCTACCTACAGGAGCTAAAACAGTACCTGCAACATAGAAAATACCTAACAAGTATTTGTGGAATGAACAACCACGCACACACCCAGAACACTGTTAAAGCATTTTAAAATCACAAGGCTATCACATAGAAAATATTTATTATGTTTGTTACTAAAACAATGTTTAAATGCTTGATTAAATGAGGTGGAATCAAGACTACCAATAAAATATAAAGTTCTGCACCAATAAAAATATAATAAAAACGACCTAACCCCCATGTTGCATTACTAATGAAGTCCCTAGATTTTCTTAGTAGTACCATTGACTCCTGCACAAGGTCTTCCAGCCTGTGAATGCTGCTCGATCTATCACAGCTATACTTCCGCTGAATGGCATCTTTCAGATTCCTTAAGTAATCATTAGCTTCTTTGGCATCATTGAAAAACTAGGGAAAGACAAAAACTGGTAGTTCAAGTATATTAAATACCAGTAAAGCACACGTTACCAAGTTCAATTACAAGGGCCCTGTGTGTAGCCCTCATCAGTGAGAAGAGCATAAAAGCAAATTGATACAACTTACTAGCCACATCCCTCCTTTAATAAAATAACTCTTGTACTTGGATAATTATGAATACTAAATGTCCAAGGTTTACTAAATTTGAAACAATTATCGGGATGAAATTCCAACAATAATTTAAAACTTCTGAAGAATAACAAAAAAGAAGAGCTGTCTACAATGGCTATCTGTAATGAAAATACTTCCTTAATAAGAGATACATTTGTAAAATAAAGATTTTTCTGACACTTTGAGGGTTTTCAAGGATTTCCTCCTGAACAGAATGCTTCCGTGTGCCCTACAGAACATACATGCTTTATATCCGACAGCAATCAAAATTCGGTGTGCTTCCCCGGCACATCACAGACATGTATCTTACAACAGACTGTGACAACGTTGCCTGCAGGTCAGCCACAATCACAGTGGCCTCAACGGGAGCTGCGCTTCCGGTCCCATACCTCGAAGTAGGCAGTGTTTTCCTTGGCGTGCTGCTCCACACACTGGCAGAGCTGCAGGATCCAGCTCCACTGCGTCTGCATCGCCGCGCGGTAGGCCTTGAGGACAAAGCACAGCTACGGTCACTGCTGCTGGGCGAGGGCCGGCGTGCATGGCAGTGCTGCTAAGGGGAAGAGACTCCACTATCTGCACAGATGGTGGGGCTTTGTTTTTGCAGATTAAGACTTGAAAGTCAGAGTAGTGAATGTCCCTCTAATCTCAAACTATCACTTGCCAAAGCCAGTCCTAAAAGCTGAAATATATATTTTTAAATCACTCCGGTCAATTTCTTTCAAATTTAAAACTTTCCCTTTTTTTTTCCTTAAAATATATGAAGAAAGCTAACTCTGGTTATTCGTACATGACAAAATATTTAACATTTCAAGTGGATGCCAATGGACCCTGGCCCCTTTCCCACCCACCCTTTTTCCACTCTGTGGAACCCTCACTCGACTGCCCCTGCCCCTCACCTCTCTTTCTTTTCTCTGAATTTTACATTACTGGATCACAGGACAGACCTTTGACACAAAATATATGGTTCCCTAGATTTCTCCTTGTTTTGCTTCTAAACCCAGGCCAGAAGATCTTGGGACCGGAGACAGAGATTAATTTATGTGTTTGGTTTTACCAGGAAAATGTTTGGGGAGGGTGGAGAAGAGAGTATACAATCCCATATCACTGTAATTCTGAATCTATCATTATAATACTAGAAATTTTTATTAAAAATATTGTGTTGCTTTCATTTTATTTTAGATAAAGTGTATCTTTCAAGAGGGCAAATATATTGTAGAAGACACCTAGTTCCTCAGGGAAACATGAAACACCCTTTTACACTGAAGGTGCAATTCACTGCCTTCCAGAAGAGGGTGCTCCAGATACTTCAATGGCTACCTTAACTCAGCCTGTCATCCTTGCTCCTTTTGGGAAACCTCACTTCCTGCTGAGCTTGCCCAGACAGGCATTTCCAACAGCACTGGAAATGTGGCAACATATCATAATTACATTACCTGCTCCCTCAAATTAAGCTACTTGGAGTAAAATGGCTATAAAAGACATTATCGTGCACTGTTAGATTATTAGTTTCTTTTTCATATAAAATATGAATATTGTTGATAATTAACTGCTATCCATGTACCCACAAGACACTGAATAGGCCAATGGAGTCATAAAGATGACTAAGGCTTAATTTCATCCCTCAAGAAACTTTTAATTACATTAAAATTTCTACATGAAAATAATCAGGTTCACATCCACATTTTCTATTTTCAGCAAAATTCTTAACCTATAATCATATTCTCTAATAGCTTTAATCCCTCAGGAATATTCCATTTTTAGTTTATCACTGTACAAAGTTACCCAGACGCACCATTATTCTAATTTCCTACCCCTGTTGTTCTTCGTACTCTTCTGTGTCTGTGACATTCCCAGGTAGCATTTCATGTCCATGGAAAACCCTCTTTTCACATAAAAGAAGGTCAAATGAAACTTTCCCATACTTCCTAACGAGGCCTAGAATTTTACAAATCTTTCGTGTCATCATGATTTCAGTGAACAGAGACATTCCTCTCCTCAAGTGAGATAGTTGGAAGCATGTCACATTCTAAGTACCTTTTTTTCCTCTGGAAATATACCACATCTACTCATCCTTGATGCGCCTTGCCCTCTTACTTATCCTCACTTCACATTTATAAAGTAACTAACTCTATTTAGTATATATATCAGGCCCCCCAAAATTAAACACGACATTGCCACACCACCACCAGCGTCACTGCGTGGGCAACCTGATAAATCCCACATCAACTCTCCACTTCTGGATTTGACATGTGCACTCTGTACCATGAGGCCTTGCCAGGGTATTATTTCAATGCACTTCACAAAACCAGGTCATAAGTAAAATCATTAATTAAATAATAATGTCATTAATCAAATAATTACTAATTAGATAATACTTAGTACTTAAATAATTAATAGTTAAATGATTATTAGTTAAATAATACTTTTTAAGAACATACTGCATACCAAGAACTGTACAAAGTGGTAACTACATTGTTGCCCTCACTGTCACCACAACTCAGTGGGTCAGAAACAACTTTCCCATGTAGGTAGGGGGACGAGGTTTAGCTAAGTTACATCACTTGTGCAATGTCACAGAATCAGCAGGAAATGAAGCATCAAAGCCTGTCAAGTCAAGGTCCTTCCTATTCCCTGCAATATGTCTCTTGGGCCACAGGGGTTAACAAAATCACCTTTACTTTAAAGTGACGGGGGTGGGGGGGTTACACGCTTGGAGCAAAAGAAGTGAAGGCAGATCAGCATGACTTGTCAGAAATGTGATTTTTGAGACAGGTGGTAATAAAAATGATAGTTTCCATTTTTCAATTTACCAGCAGTAAAATAATCTGAAGGGTAATAATCAAATGTCAATAATCAACCATGACTAGAACACCTCCTGACTTACCTCAATAGTTAATCGGGCTGGGTGATTCTCCAGAAGTAGCTGCTCTGCTATCTCCTGAACTGACTTAATATTTTCTTCCTTTTGCTCCAGTTCTCTCATTAATTCCTAATTTAAGAAAGAATTCATAAATGTGTTAGAAACAGATCTAACCCAGATATACAACTCCAATGTTCAATTACAAAAGTATCACTTACAGCATGGTATTCTTTTTTCCGAGCTATGTTGGTATTTCTTTCACTCCAGTCGTAAGCAACCTCCTCCTCTTCTTTTTCATTCAGCCAAATAAGTTCATTCGTAGCACGAGTTATAAAATTATGGAGTGTGTCAAGGTGCCGTTCCTGATTCCTGGATGTATTCTTTATAAGGAGAATCATTTGTAAGAATTCACGTCTTTGCCAAATAAAGGTAAGGGGAAAAGAAAGCTTAAAAAACTTACCAAGAGTTTTGCATACAGACTCTCTAATCTGTGCAACTTTTCTGCATAAGTTAGCTTAAGAGGTGCCGTCATTTGGATCTAAAATGTGGTATAAAAAGTTGCCGTTAGGAATCTTAAAGAATTCTGACTCATACTCAGTGTACCTATTATCTTGTTACAGGGTCTTTATATAAAAAGCAAAACAGTAAGCTAAAATAAAATATTTTCAGATTTTAAATTTATATACCTCACTAATCTTAGCTTCTTTAAGGCTAGTTTCAAATTCTTCTATAGCTCGGTGAACATTTTTGTGATTTTCTAAATGGCTTTCAACACTTGGCAAATCCGATCCCCATTCAGTGCGGTCCAGCTGCCCCTTTAAACAGAAAGACACTAGGTTTAAAAAAGAAACTGATAGCAATAAAGAGTAAAAATCCCAGGTAAAGTAAACATTTTTTTACCTGCATTTCATCAACCCAATTCAAAAGATCCTGAACAAATTTCATGTTGATTTCCTCTTCTGTTAAATTCTGATCCAACAAAGAAGACTTTAGAAGGGGTTTCCGGATCTGCATCAACTTCAGGGTTTGCAATGAATTTGTCTCTACTCCTGAATTGAAATTTGGAACTAATCCAGTTGTGAAACCAGGTGTATAAGCTGGAGTGAGGGATGGAGTTAGGTGGGAAGACAAACCTGAGGACAGGCCTGATTTCATACTAGAAGGGGTCAGGGAAGGCGTGAAACTCTGGGTCAGCCCTGAGTTCAGACTGGGGTTTAAGGTCTGTGCAAACCCTGAGTTTAAACTTTGAGTGATTCCTGATATCATGAGCTTCGTCTGTTCTGTTGTCAGCATGCGTCCTTTGCTATACACTGAGGAACATTCATTCCTTAAGGCCATAATTTCATCACGCAGTTTTGCAACCCTGAAAAGAAAATCAAAAGGGTCAAGCTATACTATAAAAGGCATTTTTCATAAAGAGCGAGCCCTAAGGTAAACTATGGACTTTACTTAACAATAATGTGTCAGTACTGGCTCATCAATTACAGCAAATGTATCACACTAGTGCAAGATGTTAACGGGGGGAAGAGGGTTTGCAAGGAGGCATACAGGAACCCTCTGTACTTTCTACTCAGTTTTTTAAAATCTAAACTGCTAAATAAAGTCTATTATTTGAAAAGTCATTGTAATAATCATATTGATAAAATTTTACAGCACAATTTTTCTACTGAATTGTATTATGAGTACTTTCATTATCACACAGCCATTTATAATATAATTACTAAACTATAATGTGACCATTCTCCTATTATTTGACCTTTAAGGTATTTCCTAATTTTTGTTATTATAAAACATTTCTCATGTGAACAAAAAGCTTTTTGTCTATATTTATTTAATATGTTTTATTTTTATAATTACTACTATAGATTCCTGAAAGGGGAAGAACTGTATCAAAGCATCATTTACATTTTTTGCTTTATATATATATAATATTTATATATATTTTATATATATATGTATATATACACACATATATGTGTATATATGGCATACAACCCAAAAGGTTCCATCTCTAACCCCAAACCTACTTCCCAGAGATATAGATTTTTATACATATATATTTTCCAATATTTTGTTATAAAACATTTTCATATAAAGAAAAAACTAGAAAATGGAATTTAAAAAGATACTTTTCAAATATATTCCTTTTCAAATGTCACACATATTTAACTGCATGTTCATTACTATAATATTAAATATTGTATGTATTATAAAATATTTTTCAATTGCTTATATTTGAAAAACAAATACCCTGTTTAACACAAAAATATACATAGCAGAATTAATGACATGCATTCACAACTGAAAAGAGCTTAAGAAATGAAATTCATAAAATTGTCATACTCTCCATTCCTATCATAAAAGTGCCCTGAAATAGTAACGCACAAGGACAGGATATGAATTAGTAAGTAGCACACTGACCTCTGTAGCAATTGATCTGCATGGTAGTACTTTCCATCAATGAGTATCTGCACATCAATTACATGCTGGCGTAAAAGGTTCTCACATTCAAGTATGTACCCGGCAATTTCTGCTTCATTCTGAAACTGCACCCCTGATTCTAACCTTTTAGAATCCTGTGTTTTAAAAGAAGTCAATATTAATTCTCTGAAACAAAGTTTCAAAACTAGTGTCAAATGTAAAACTCAAAATATGGAAATACAGGGCTACTGAGGTTCTCTGTTTTTCCTTTCAGTTCAAATGTATGTTTTGCCTTTGCTCACTATCCCCTCAATAGAGCAAGTAGTGCTCATAATCTTTAACAAACTCTAAGTTTCAGTTGATAAAAATACCAAGAATTGACCAAATAAATGTTATACAAAAGTTTTAGTTCATCCGAATGCACAGACCCCACTCTACCACAATCCCACTGGCTCCCAAAATCAACTTACAGATTGAAGAGCATTTCGAGCAAGTATCAGTTTGTCTTCACAGATGACACTGTCCCTCTGAACTCGGTTGGCAATCTGCTGCAACATTTCCAACCTGAAAGAAGGAACAAAATTAAATACAGCTTTCCCTTTGAAGTTGCAGAATTCACAATCACTGAAAAAGGCTGCCCACCAGAAGTAAAACACAATCTCACGCCAGTGACTCAATACCTGTGTCCGTCCAAGGATTCATTGCCAAAGCTAATGCAGGAGTTGATCAGTGTCGGACCACAATGAACAGAGACAAAATTTTCATTTGAATCAAGACTTGTTCTAGTGCTAGTAGTGTTACTGAACACAGAATCGCTACTACGGTAACTATAACTACTACTGTGCATTTTTATTCCTGAAATGTTCCTTCTTGACCATTACAAGTAGACAAAAGAGTAGGCCTGCAAAAGGCTCTCCTTCCAACAGTGCAAAGTGGCAACAGAATGTTACGGCTTTAATGGCTCCTTAAATATGCTCCAACATGCATATTCAACACACAGCAAATAATACGCTGATAACTATTCAAAAGAATCTCGCCCAAAGCCATGCATTTGCTTGCTGAGGTCTGCCTTTTGTAGCTTGCATTAAAACCCTACAAGTACAGACAAGGCAGGCTGATGGGCGTCACTGAAAAAGACTGGCCAAATATTTTCACCAGGAGTCATCAATTGCAACCACCTAAAAAACAACTCAGATGCCTGACCAAAGCCCAGGTACAATTAGTCAAAGTTATTCAGTTATTCAGTCTACAGCAATCACCAGCTAAACAAACACAAACATTCAATTATAGCCTGACTTTTGTAAAGGGCCAGGTATGTACTGAATAACACGAGGCTAAAAGTTGGCACCTCAAAGTATGTATAAACAAATTTGTTTGATAAGAAACAAAGTCCATTCCCATTTTAACAACCACGTCCTTTGTTTGTTAGGTTAAATGAACTGTTAAGAAATGATACATTTACCTTTCTTAATTTTGATGTGCTCTTAGGTATGTTACTCTAATCTTACTACAGTTACTTTATATTTTTAAAAGCCTAAATGGTAAGTAGAATATTGATGCAATGCTTGCAAATGTAATTGGTCTGCGCTTATTTAGGTTGCTACCTGGCATAAGCACTTCTCATTTGTCTCTCACACATCCCCAGGCCACATTATTTGCAACATACAGTTAATGCCAAAAAAACTTGTAGCATCAAGAAAACTGAAGGTATTTATTCAAACAAGCCCCTAAATATTTTGCTACCCCCATCACTGCAAAACCAAACTTGCTTCTCTACTTCTAAGGCTGATATATCCTTTTTGGAAGACAAAAAATAGGACATTTGCGAGTGCCATATCAAGTACTGTTAGTAAGCAGAAAATCTCAAAATAATAACAGCAGTATCTAAGGTTTATTAAGTAATTATTATGTGCCAGGAGATTAGCTAACCATTTTAAATACATTACCTCCTCTCATACTCATACCCACCAGATGTGGTAGATTCTATTACATCCTGATTACAAATGAGGAAACTGAGGCTTAGGAAGGTTAATAAGTTTGTCTAAAATGATATGGCTTGCAAGTTAAGCTAATACTTTAATCCAGGATCCACTGATTCCTGGACCTTGAACTCAACCACTGCATTATTTTATTAACACACATTAGAATCAGCTATTATTCTGATGACTGAAAATCAGCTCTGTATCCTTTCTCTGGTAGGCTTTGCCATTATTTCAGATGATAAGGTTAGCGTCTCACTTAAATCGCCTACCAATGCCTCCTTTATAAAATGTCCATCCCATGTATTTCAGGTCATCTACATGACCCAGTCATACGGATATAAAATTAAGCTTAAACAAGAGTGTAGTCAGTTATTGAACAAAGGGCTGACAAGTTAGACTTGCTTTCTCACTGTCAATGCTCAATTTCCTGCTTCCACAACATTGCTGTCAAGCACAGGGCACAGAGAACCTGAGTACACAGGGAGCCCTGTATCTGCCGGGCACTGTGTTCAACACCAGCAAAACAAGAAGCAGTGAAAACAAGAGTTTGTCTCCACATTCTCAGAGCTCATAACAGTGGAACAGATAGCCCTCAATCGAAGATCACAGAAATAAATATAAAATTACTGCTAAGACAAGTGCTGTGCAGGAACAATACATGTAAATACGAGAGCAATAAACAAGACATCTGGACTAGCCCAGGAGACCAAGGAAAGCTTCTTGGGAAAGTAACGCTGGAGCCGAGATCTGAGAATGATTAGCAGAAAAGAGAAGCAGGGAGGATGGACAGACATCCCTGCCAAAGGCACAGAGGGTTGCAAACATCCTGGGTAGGGAGGAGGGTGGGACCTCGGCACTTCAGAACTCCCAGCCAGCGTGGAGGCACTGGAGGGTGTGGTGTGGAAAGAGACTGTGAGGCAGAAGACCCAGCCCTTGGGGAGCCCACAGCTAATGAGGAACAGAGATCGCCATTCCCGAGTGCCACCAAGTCCAGCTGTGAGGTAGGGATTAGAATGAAGACGAATGGACTCAACGAATGTCCCCTGAGGTACCTGCCAGGGAAACTGGTCACACTGGGAGGGACCAAGTGATAGAGTCAGTGATGATTTCATGCAACAAATGCACTTGTAGAAGTGTCTGAAAGGGAACTTACACCGAGATAATCAGTGTTTTCTAGAAGCTTCCTCACTGCCCTTGTAATGGCAGACAAGATTCTGGTTTCCACTGCCCCACAGAAAGAGGGTCATTGCCAAGAACATAAAAAATAAAATATGTTAATTAGTGACCTGGAAGCTTCCAGATCCAGGCCCTGGGCCATTTAAAAGCTAGTTTGAAAATTTCTCATGGGTAATTTTAACAGGCTTTAAAGCTATAACCACTAATAAGACTTCACATACCAACCCAGCCTATCAGGTCCTTTTTGAACAGTACATTTCACTGATTTCAAATCTCTGAAAGCTGTTAGAAGAGTTTTTATTTTTTAAAGATTTTTAAAAGATTTTATTTATTTATCTTTAGAGAGGGAAGGAAGGAGAGAAGGAAAGAAATATCAATGTATGGTTGCCCCTCATGAGTCCCCTGCTGGGAACTGGCCTGAAACCCAGGCATGTGCCCTGACTGGAAAATTGAACCTCAATCGTGTGGTTGGCAGGCCCGCTGTTAGAAGAGTTTTGAGATAAGAAAAATGAAACAGCAGAAAGACTGAATGATTCAACCAAGGTCACAGAGTTAAGGAAATGGAAAAGGTGAAAGTTGGTCCCAGGTCACCCTGGCTCCAAAACATAATTTCTTTCCGTGAGAACAAAGAGACCCCCCTCCCCCGTTCCCCTGGCGGCAGTCACTCCAGCTTACCTTTCCACCTCAGGCCGAAGGGCCTTCTCCCTCTCGAGCATGGCAATGATGAGTTTCCCCCACTCTTTCTCTATGTCATTTGGATGATAACCTTGAAGCAACTTGATGCGTCCGAATTCTATCCATATCTTGAAAAAAAACAAAGTAAATATGTAAAAATAAGAAAATAAAGGGAAAATGATTCTACTTGACAATACAAAGGAAATTTCTGCTTACCTCTAATAATTTATATAGGCGTTTGATTTTTGATTTTTCTGTCTCCTTTGGTGGAATTTCTGTTTCTTTAAACTGTAAATACTGATTGTAAAGTGCCTAAAATGAAAGGGAAAATCCATGAAGGCTCCAACTTCAAAGACCCGTGTTCACTACTGCATAAGGTCACCACTTCAAATGCTGCTGACGGTGTCATGTGCATCCAGGGGGAGTCCTGCACAACACAGACTCTCCGGGACCATGCCGACTGCCAGCTGGTCGGCAACCAGATTCCAGCGCACAGACTTGATGAGGTGTAAGTAGTGATGTGTGCTGTGATTCAGCATATGCTCCACAGGCATCCGGGTAATAATGAACCCTGGTCGTGTTTACTGCGGCTCTACTAAAAACCTCTCATCATGCAAACGAGAAAACACAGCCTTTAAAAGATGTACTTTCCAACTGTGGAAAATTAGCTTTTGGAAAAATAATCTGATGCACTTCCCATAAAGGGAAAAAAATCTGCCTTGTGTATACCATGGATCTACCCTTAAAAGCAGAGTTATCAGCTAGATGGAGCTAAAATTTGGTTTTACTGTCCTACTGGCCAAGTTAAACAGATCTCTTAGTAAACAAAGATAAATGTCATTGATTACTGCTTTATTATGGATGTTTCAACCATGTAATTAAATTATTATCTAGTTCGCAGATATTAATTTAGAATCTCGTATATATAATTTATCATATTTACTAAAAAGGACCTTCATGAAAATTATGTAGATAAAATATCTCCACATGTACTAAGTGTATACTAATTATTTCATGCTTTTTTTTAGTCCTTTTAAATCTTCAGGCAGACACATTTCTGAAGGATTCCATGCAATGTTTTGCTGGCTAATCAAATTACAGGCATTTTCCCCACATATATTTTCTTTTTTATATTACATCCTAACCTAAGCAAGTAATCTGAATAATCACTTAAATGTTTTCCAAAACTTTAAGAATCTGCATTAATCAGAAGCCAGTACAAATTTGCCCAAGTGTCTGGACGACGGGAATCCATTTGGAAGTAATTCGCACTTGAAATCTGAAAACTGTTTTGAACTTAAAATGCAATGTTTCTAGAGGCCCATCAGTAAATAAGCACAGAATACCATTATATGGGAAATGCTATTCGTGGTCGGTGTGGTGATGGCAGGGGAAGTTTCTTGTCCACACAGGGAAGCCTCACACAAACAACCTGAGCACACTTAACAAGCATCCTAGCAGCACAGGCCCAGTGACTCTGTGCCAAGGACAAAGTCCCTGTGGCAGTGTGAATTAAGAGCTGTTTCACAGATGTTCTGTACGGATATCTGAACACAGTAAATAACTTCAACAGGGCCCATGCTGGGTTATAAGAATTTTTGTGATTCCAGTTTGACCATGAAAACAAATCTTATAATTCAAGGAATTAGACTTTGTTGTTAACGTTTTTGCATTATCAATTTCTTGAAATAAAGCAGGCTATTTTGCAACCATAAATCCTAATATACAAAATGAGGCAATATATTCTTCAATGAAATGTCTATATGTATAATGTCTTTTATATTTCTAAAAATTTTTTGCCTTAAAGAGTTAGACCTGGGTTTTTTTTGTTTTTGTTTTTAGGTAGTAGCAAATGTTTTACTAGACCATGAATTCATTTATACCGGGAGTCAGGTATGTGTTTTCAACTTCATAGTGAAATATAGCACATACCTCTTGCTACACAGGAGAAGGTTCTGAAGCAGTTTTGATGAGGCACACTCCCAGCCACTGTCACCCTTGTGCAAGCTTCCCAGGGTCCCTCCCACCCCAGCCATCTGGTGGGCACCAAGCATTTCCCACACACCGGAAACCATTTGGCAAAGTCACATCCAGAGAGTCTCTCAGACCTTAAAACTCTCAATGCAAACCTAAGGGACTATAAATGTCTTTACGATGTCATTGCTATTATGTTTTAATAACTAATGTTTACCAGCGTTTTCTCTGTATAATAGGGAGATGAGGACATTTTTTAACGCCTACTTATTAGTGGCATGCCAAAAGCATTTTTTCTTGGACTTCTAAAGTAACAGAATTATAGCCACATTACTTAGCAGTGTAATAATCCAGTCAATCCCACCTCACTCCTGAGTGCCACTGACCTTCAGTTCTACAGGATTATTAGGAAACGTTCTGTCAGACATTGTGGTCACATGGTGTCGAATCCACTGGATGAGGTAGTTCACCATGTTCTGGTATTCAATCCATTTGACTTCAACATCCTAGAACAATAAAATGACAGGAAAGGTCTTTGTCTGTAGATAATAACATCCATATCCAACACAATTTAGTCAGAGGTCATTCTGTGAATTTACATCTTTAAGCCTGGCAGAGACAACCGGCTAAATGTTTTTTAACTTTCCATGTAGTCCCAGTCCTTTCCACATAAACAGCTTCAAATGCATGCTATCTACACTGGAGCCTCAGAGCAGCCTAATGAGCGCCAGTTCTGATCCAGAGACAGTAGCTGCCTGAAGCTCTGTGTTGAGAAGGGTTCTGAGGCAGCACCCAAGCACAGCAGAAGACACTTCCACAATCGATTTGTCAGGGGCTCAGGAAGGGGAAATGATAAGCTTGCATAAGCCTAGCTGAGTGCCAGTCTGCCAACCTTTTTAGATGTAAGTCTACTGCAGGTATAAAACTCAAAAGACCTACCCATTATGTAAGAAACTAGGTAGGAATGAAAACTACAAGAAATGTGTATGATGAGATTTTTCAAGTACTCATTTACCAAACTTTTTAAAAATGGAAGAAACTGCAAGTTTGTCAACTGCTCTACTCAATTGATGAGTGCTCATTATGTTTAAAGCATTACGCTGTTATAATAAAAATGTAATGCTTTAAGACATAATTAATACCTAGTATGAAACAGTTACTGTCTACATAGTGATGCAAGAGAGGTTTCAAAATATAAACAGCTGAGCAAAATAAAAAGCAGTGTTTAATGAAGTGCTGAAATAACTGAAACAGGAGGTATATGCCAGGAGTTGAGACAAGAAGCAGAGATGTGTAAGTGTGCCTAAACTGCCCACTAAAGGCTGCTTGGGCAAGGTGGTCCCGAGCAGTCCTGAAACTTCCAGTACATACACTGTTTTGCCCATATTTTTGAGGGAAAAATAAGAAAGCACATTACACACACACACACACACACACACACACACAGAGTACCTGAAATACTTTGTATCTGTTCTCATGTTTTGTAATTCCTTATTACATAAAATTTCTTCTACCATAATATGTTCAAAAATAAATGCTAAACTCCCTTTACAATACCCCCAAAACAAGTATCTAAATATAACTAAGTAACTAAATAAATAAATAAATAAATAAATAGCTGGATTTCAAAATTAAAACATAAGTATTTTTCCCGAAAGTCTGGGCCAAAAACATGGCAGCACATTATACACGGAAAAATACGGCAATTGTTGGTAGGAGAGGGGGAAGACTGAGTAAAAGATAAGGGAGTCCCAAGTCAGGAATCTGAAACAGAAATGCCCTGGCTACCAGCAAACAGTTCAGGTTGAGGTGTCAGAGCTCAAAATGAAAGCAAGCTGAATTCATATATGCAGAATTTTGAATGTCAGAATATCTGGACTGGATTTAGTCCTGCAAGCCACATGAAGCCACTGAAAGTTTTCAAGCTAATTTGGTGACAGTGTTCGGGGTTTGTGGGAAGAGAAAAATAATGGGAGAAGTAAAGCCATAAGAAAGCGATTGATCATCCTGGTTCTGGTATGAAGGGGTAAGAGCCAGGAATGGTGTGGAGGGAGGGAGACAGTGGAGCAAGGACTGCCACCAGAAACACTCGCAAGCGGCACTCAACATTGCGTCACTGGGAAACTGCACTGAATCAGAGAGGATGAACGGGGATCCGCGAGGATGCACATGACACCGTCAGCAGCATTTGAAGTGGTAACGTTATGCAGTAGTGAACACAGGTCTTTGAAGTTGGAGCCTTTGAGGGATCAGTAAAAGGAGTAGACAAAACTTTTGAGAGAAAGAACAAGAGGAAGAGAGTGGCAATAAGTCTAAAAACAACGGCATACAGAGGTGAAGTAAAAGACCAGAAAAAAAGAGCTCACCAAAATGAGCTCCTAAATCTTCAAAGTAAATTTTTAAAAATGGTACCTGCAAGGAGGAAGGGAGAAGCCCAGAGTGAGAGGTGATCACCCCAAAATGCATGACACATATAGGGGTTCCTGCCTCTTCCAGAAATGCATAAGCACTTGTTAGCAAGACCACTAAAAATGCATGATTGAACTGCATTACACAAACCTTGGTAGATAGAGTCCAAAGCTATGTGTCAGAGACCTTGCCATGCATGCACGGTCGCTCTGCCAACTTGGCAAAATACATAACCTTCTTCTGGGTCTCACTGTTCAGTCAGAAAGTACAGAGCCAACCACTCTTACACAAGCATTAGAGCTGATAACTTGAAAGTGACTTCAAATGTGAGATATTCTATACAAATATACCAAATAGAGCCATTATAAAATAGCAACAAGTTAAAAATGAGAATCTCCAAAGTTCAGTGGTTTATAGCTATTCTTTATAAAATGACCAATAACTCTGAATAGCCTACTTTATGACACAGAACACATTTTTGTTATAATTTTAATGGTGGAATGGTACCATTAAAATGCATGCAATATCAGTTTAATAAATAGCCTATTAACTCGAATTCTTTAAAAATATTTGATAGTTAGGAATGACTTAAAAAGCACTATCAAAGAATTCAGTCAATTGGGCATTGTTGAATCGGAAGCCTCTAGTATGGAAAAGTCAACACTCACATTTGCACCGATGCCTTCACCGCCTTCCGGGACTTTGGGAAAGGCATCATAAAGAGATGACACGTACGTTATTACTGACTTTTCATCGGGAGAGGAGACATCAACATCTAAAAGCATCAACAGAAATTATTTCAAAACGTTGCAAGATCACTTTGATCAAACGTGCAGGCCAGTCTACATCAGGTCACGGCAACAACTCACCCTCCGGATCCAGAAGTCTGATGACACCAATTTTTTCTGCTACATAAAAAGCATGCTCTAAATTTGCAAGGTTGCTTTGAACAGCAACAGTATTCATGTCTATCAGGTCCGGCCTAGGAAGAAATTCACTGTGTCAATTACATTTCTCATGTGCCAATTCAACATCATATTTACATGTGTAACCATTTATATAGCAACTGCTGCAAACATTAATACCAAGTCTGTGCTAAGATTTTTATCAAACATTGCTTACTTCTCTCAGAAACTTTTGTGTGGCAAAGGCAAGTATAATGAGGGAAATATAAAAATTTGAACATGTATAACTTTTGGCAAGGTTTACAAACCCCTCAAAATCAGAATCTATATGAACATCTGTCCTTTTCAACCCGTGTAATTTCCACTACTCAACAGTACCCTTCCAGTCCAACCGGCATCCTCTCAATGTTTCTCCCCAAACACAAAACTTGTACTCAGTTCAATGGCATGCCCATGGCAGTCCTCCTATCCCAGAAGTCCTTCCCCATCACTGCTGTCTCCCACAATCCTACTCATCCTTGCAAGCAGAGATCAAGCCCCACCTCCTCCATGGACTCCTCACCTTCCCAACTCTCAGTTTTCTCTCTCTGTTCCCTAAACTCCTCATACTCCTGGGTCTGTGTCAGTCAATCTGGCACTTAGAATAATCACACTCTTCCTTGCCCTATTCATTCACTGTTTAATGTGCACATCTTTGTTTCTCCCAACTGGTCGACATCAGGATGGCAAGAACCGTGTATTAATACGCAATTGTATTTTATACTTCTGCTGAGATAGAGGCACATACTTAGTAGACATTCAATAAATACCTACAGATAAGTCAGTAAACAGGTTGGTTAGTTAGGCATTTGAATAATAAATAACTAAGCACTAGGTTCTATATTTGCATGTCCACACACACATACATGCTCTTACACCTTGGTCTTCATCTCTTTCTGAGACTTACATGATACTCTAAACCACAAGGATACCTAGCTCTATCTCTCTGAGACAAGAAAAGACTAAACTACTCCTTAAGTTAGGAGGTAAAATACAGCAGTTGGAAACTTTACTCAAGGTCAGAAGCCAGTCAGGAAACTTTTATCTCAAAAATAAAGCATTAAAAGAATGCAGAAACAGTGTTGAAACAGTAAAGCCTTTAAAAAGAGTGGCACCCAGTCCCAAACTCACTGAGTTAGAACCTATCTGTGAGCTGCTAAGTGAAGGCATCCTGGTTTAACTGCAGAAGAGTGGGAGGGCCCAGCGGCAGTGTGGAACAGTGAAATGCATGTTACTTTGAATACTACTTGGAAGGCTGTCTATATGAGAAACTCTTTGAAAATATGCCATTAATCTTAGGAAGGTAAACAGCAATTTGTACTCCTATTTTTATCTGATGAGAATACAGACTTCCAAAGAAATCTAGTTATTTTTACAGCTCTTTGAAGTGTTCATTACCTTGAATTATAGCTACCATCACCCACCTACTTATTTCCAGGAAATTATTAGAAAATTCTTTCATGTTTTTTAAATGTCACCAATTTGATCACTGAAAAGCGATCTTACATTTATTATAGAAACAATAAATCTACTGACAACAATAGAAGAGTTAAGTGACATGCCTCCAGAAATAATATTTTTTATTCACATAAAAGCATTCTTTTCACATGACCCATTTTGAAGAATCTGCCCACTTCAAAATTACTAAACAGGTATGTATAACATTCTTGACAAAAACAAATATCTAAAGTTCAAAAAACTGTTTTGCTTCCATAAAGTTCACACATTTTGAAGAAATAAAAACCAGCCTTTCTGAGTTTGCCAAATATCCCAACAAGATAGAGCATGTTGCTATGTGAACCCTGCCATTAGCAAAGAAAGTGAGCACTGAGTAATTCCAGGCAGAATGAATAAAGTCATTGAAGAAGAATCAAGTTTTTGAGTAAGAAAATGAAACATAAACCTTCCTCCTGAATGACACAGTCATTTCAGCACAAAAGAAGCTGGATAATACATGAGTTTGGATAAATCACCTCTTTATCATGAGAGTTAATACTTTAATGAATAAAAACTGAAATGGTTTTTGACCATTAAAAATTACAGTAGACAAAATTAAGCAAAAAGTAAAAAGGATACAATTTTAAAAACACGATGAAAAAGTAAAGTCCTGTCCCTCCCCAGTCATCTGCTAAGGTTGGTCATTTCAGTCTTCATCTGGCTTTGCCTCCGTGTGTCTGAAGCCTCGAGAAGTCACACGTGTTGTGACTTGTCTACCTTCCTTCTTTCTTTGTAGTCTTTCTCGGATAATATAGTATTTAAAAGCTTCAGCTATCTTCCACATAAAGAAGATGGGTTTCATTTCATTGTCATATTTCCTTTTTCTATAATTTTAATAGGAAATTTCATTCCCATCTCAGGTTTGACTAACCAAGGATGACATAATACTGTTATCATGTAGAAGCCAGCAACCATGTTCCTGTATTATAGTTTAGAGAGTTGAGCATTAACTAATCTGATTTCCTTAATTTCTGGAAACCTTTCGAAATCACATAAGATAATCCTTTGTACCTAAAATAATATATGATGGTCCTTTTATGAAAAGGAGGCCATTCTAACTCTTACTTGTCATTATTCTATGGTAATGCAAAATTTTCTGAATGACTCACCATCATGGACTGCAATTATAAAAACATATTGTTTATATGCCACCATTTTCTATAAATTTTAAAAAACAGCTTACAAAAAAAGGAGAATGTAAAAAAACAACAAATTTTAAATTAGAAGTAGAAAACCAAAACAGGCCATATAATAAAGTTTCAAATGAGGCCAAAAAGAACAAACCACTTATATATGCATGCTTAGTGCAGTAATTTGTTCCAAAAATACAGGACACAAAGGTACCAAAAAAATGGTTATTGCCACTATACAAAATAATTTGGATAGAAGTAATGCTTATCTTTTATACAACATGCATTTTTAAAAAAGTATTCTCCATGGACAAAATAGATATATATATACCCACATGCACACATGCATGCACATGTACACACTGATATCACATGTATCCATATGTGTATATGTGGATACATGACAGATAACCAAACTAGCAAAACATTAAATTTGCATAAGAAATTCTTTTTTTTGCCCTGGCCAGCTAGCTTAGTTGATTAGAAGTTCATCCTGATACACCAAAGTTGTGGGTTTGATCCACATATAAGAATCCACCAAAGAATGCATAAATAAGTGGAACACAATTAATGTTTCTCTCTCTCCCTCAAATCAATAAAATAATTTTTTTAAACTTGGCACAGATAGTCCTCACTTTATGAATTTATTAGCTTGCATAAGAACTACATACAATTCTGAGAGAAAATGCAACTATAGTTAATAACTTTGTATTGCATATTTGAAAGTTGCTGAAAGATCCTAAAAGTTCTTTTCACAAGAAAAAAATTTTTATGAGTATGTGAGATGATAGATTTTAATTAGACTTATTTCAGTGGACACTGTAATATATACAAATATTGAATCATTATGCTCTACATCTGGAACTAATATAATGTTACATGTCAGTTATACTTCAAGTTTTTAAAAATCCCACAATATTATCAAATAAGTGTTACAAGGCGAACATGAAGAGACATAAACACAAATGTGCCCTCAGTAAGAGACAGCAACATTTTTATCTCTTTTCCAGTGTTGATTTTTAGTGTTTAAATCTAGAGGAAAAGAACACATTTAGGATTGGGGGTTGGGGGCATTTCATGTTAGCCCAACTCTGAAATACATAGTAAATGATGAAGTCTAGAAAAGACAGCATTTGGTAACATTTTTTAAATCACAACCAAAGCATTTAAACTCTGTGATTAGTGATACCCAATCAGCTGGAAGGAGGGTGAGCAACAATCCTCTTTTTCAATGAGAAAAAGGGCAATAGATTATACCTCAAGAAGAGCCCTGGAACATCAAACCAAAAGAACCTATGCACCCCAATTTTCATAGCAGCGCAATCTGCAATAACCAAGTGCTGGAAGCAACCTAAATACCCATCAGCAAATGAGTGGAATAAAAACTATGGTACATTTACACAATGGAATTCTACACAGCAGAGAGAAAGAAATAGCTCCTACCCTTTGGGACAACATGGAAGGAACTGGAAAGCATTATTCTAAGTGAAATAAGCCAGGCAGTGAGGGACAAATACCATATGATCTCACCATTAACTGGAACCTAATCAACAAAAGAAAAATGCAAACAAAATATAACCAGAGACACTGAAATTAAGAATAATGTAACGATGGCCAGAGAGAAAGAGGGAGGAAACAGAGAAGGGTTTTCAGGAACTATTATAAAGGACATATGGACAAAACCAAGGGGCAGAGTGGAAGCAAAAGAGGGAGGTGGGTTTGGCTGGGGTAAGGGGGAGTGGTGGGGAGAAAATGCAGACAACTGCAATTGAACAACAATAAAGTAATTTTAAAAAGGGGCAATAGAAAGCAGAATGGCTGTTGCTAGGGGCGAGAGGAAGATGGGGAGTTACTGTTTAGTGGATATACTTACTATCTCAGTTTCATGAGATGGAAAGAGTTCTGGAGATGGATGGTGGTGATAGTTACACAACAATGTGAATGTACTTAATGCCACTTTACTGAACACTTAAAAATGGTTAGGATGATAAGTTTTATGTTATGTGTATTTTACCACAATGCTTAAGAAAGGATGTTTACCACATCCTTTAAGACTCTTTCTATATATTGAGAATAAAGGCAATATTGACGTGAAAAAAAGTTAAAAGATGTGATTCCAGTATCCTGTGATTTAGTCCTAACTTGCTGTTTAACTTAGAACACTAATGTCTCAGTTCCCTTCTACAAAAAAAAAAATGAAAATCAGGAATGACAGGAAATCAGGAATTACAATAATCATTCAGAATTCCAGTTCCCCCTAGGGAGCCTCTGGAAATACGTGTGGGAGTGGAGGGAGGATATTGGGGCTGCTACTGCCGAAAGGTTTGGAGAACCTAATGGATTTGCCCAAGGACTCAAGAGAGCGGTCATGTAAAAGTACTTGTGAAATTCAGTATAATGAGCAATGCAGA